TATATTCATATCACATTATCACAATATCCATTAGGTACTTATAACAGTTATAACGCGTTATACATCAACAAAAACCGTGATACTGTCATAGATATATAATAGTACACTTTAGAAGTTTCAAGTACCCACGAATAATATTATTCAATCACAACAAAATAACTAAAATCGTATTTCTTTAAAAAGAAAAATTTTTACGAATTCTTAACTCAAAATAATTTGCTAATTTTCGTGATTTTTCCATATTTTGTCAATTTTTGAACTTTAAATGCTTATAAAAAAAAATTGTGACTAAGGATTTTTAATATTTTTCATCTGCCTTTGAAACAACATATTAGGAGCCTTCTATTAAATTTTCAAGCTTTCGCAACCAACAAATAAAATTTTATTGATATTTCTAGAAAAAAAACTAAAAAAAAATGAAAAATGAAAATGTCCCTAAACAGTTCAAAATAAATCAAAATATTTTGAAAATGTTATCGTGTATAGAAAATGCAAATATAAACAACCAGTGAAAATTTCATGTATCTACGGTCATTTGTTTTAAAGTTACACCAAAAACCAAATTCGATTTTTTGGAAAATCGATTTTGCGTAAAAATTCCCGTTTTTCCTTAATTTTTATGTTGTTTTTCCCGGCGCTTGTGAAAACTACTGGAAAATGTTTACTTTTGACCCCCCAAAGTACCAACTAGATTCACTTTCCTATCAGAAAAGGTACTATTGAAGAAAATCGAAGCACTTTTACTGTCCCAAAACGTGATGACAGACACAAAAATATAAATAAAAATATAAAAAGGTGGGCAAGTGGGTGTCGCTCTGCTGTACTGTAGGTTACAAGTGGGTCACTGTATAATGGATGGTATTAAATTTGAATTCAATGATATAATATCATTGTATAAGAAAAACGATTCTGAGCGGTGATGGTATGTCAGTCTATGTATAAGGCATATTATATACATATATATCTTATTAAACAAAATTTGACCTATAATAGGTACCTATAATAAATTCCAAATTAATCATATCACAATATCCATTAGATACTTATAACGCGTTATACATCAACAAAAACCGTGATACTATCATAGATATATAATAGTACACTTTAGAAGTTTCAAGTACCCACGAATAGTATTATTCAATCACAACAAAATAACTAAAATCGTAATTCTTGGTTTAAATATGAAATTTTGTCTAAATTTGAAATTAAAATGTCTGTAAAAAATAAGTGTGTTTATATATTTTTTAGATTTTTTGGTTACAGTATGAATTATTTAAGAGAATCTTTGTTTTAAATTTTCAACTCTTAGTTATAAAAACTGAACATTTTATAATTTTTTAATTCCAACGATTGATAATTTTCGAGATTTTGATAAATTTTGTCAAAATTCCAACTTTAAATGCTTATAAAAAAAAATCGTGCCTATGTATTTTTAATATTTTTCAACTAATATTGTAACAATATATCAGGAGCCTTGTATTAAATTTTTACACTTTTTGGCCCAACAGATAAAACTTTATTGATATTTATAGAAAAAAAAACTAAAAAAAATTGAAAGCTGTAAATGTCCATAAACAGCTCAAAAAGAGTCAAAATATTTTCAAAATTGTATGGTGTATATGAAATGCTAATATAAACATTCAGTGAAATTTTCATGTATCTACAGTTATTCGTTTTTGAATTACAACAAAATAAGGAAATCGCTACATGAGAAATCGAGTGAAAATCCAATGTTGTAAAAATTTGAATTTCAAACGCTCATAAAAATTTAATTTGACTGTCCGGTAGAGATTTTTTTATTGATAAAGGTAGATAATCTTATAAGGAATCTTGTGTTTCATTTTCAAATCTTAGATTTAAAAAGAAAAATTTTTACGAATTCTTAACTCAAAATAATTTGCTAATTTTCGTGATTTTTCCATATTTTGTCAATTTTTGAACTTTAAATGCTTATAAAAAAAATTGTGACTAAGGATTTTTAATATTTTTCATCTGCCTTTGAAACAACGTATTAGGAGCCTTCTATTAAATTTTCAAGCTTTCGCAACCAACAAATAAAATTTTATTGATATTTCTAGAAAAAAAACTAAAAAAAAATGAAAAATGAAAATGTCCCTAAACAGTTCAAAATAAATCAAAATATTTTGAAAATGTTATCGTGTATAGAAAATGCAAATATAAACAACCAGTGAAAATTTCATGTATCTACGGTCATTTGTTTTAAAGTTACACCAATAACCAAATTCGATTTTTTGGAAAATCGATTTTGCGTAAAAATTCCCGTTTTTCCTTAATTTTTATGTTGTTTTTCCCGGCGCTTGTGAAAACTACTGGAAAATTTATACTTTTGACCCCCCAAAGTACCAACTAGATTCACTTTCCTACCAGAAAAGCTACTGATGAAGAAAATCCAAGCACTTTTACTGTCCTAAAACGTGATGACAGACACAAAAATATAAATAAAAATATAAATAAAAATATAAAAAAAAACATACATCATTGTAAAACCAATACATTCATCGCTCCGCTCAGAATCTAAAATATAAAAACATACATCATTGTAAAACCAATACATTCATCGCTCCGCTCAGAATCTAAAAGGTGCTCTGCTGTACAGTAGGTTAAGAGTGGGTCACTGTATAATGGATGGTATTAAATTAATTTGAATTCTATAATATAATATCATTATATAAGAAAAACGATTCTGAAAGAAAACGGTTAGTCAGCCTATGATATTACGAAGTATATTTGATGATACTAAGGTGAATAAAGTAATTTATATATAACCTATTTACGTAGAATCTCGTTTTAAATTTTCAATCATTAGCTATAAAAGTTGATCATTTTATACATTTTTAACTACAAAATTATTATTAAATTTTGAATGTGATACATTTTGTCAAAATTTGAACTTAAAATGCTAAGAAAAAAAAATTGTGCCTATGTATTTTTAATATTTTTCAATTGCTATTGTAACTATATATCAGGAGATTCGCATTAAATTTTCACGCTTTTTTACCCAACAAATAAACTTTTATTAATATTTATAAAAAAAAAAACTAAAAAATTTAAAACTGAAAATGTTCGTAACCAGCTCAAAAAGAGTCAAAATATTTTCAAAATTGTATGGTGTATAGGAAATTCGAATATAAACATTCAGTGAAATTTTTCAAGTATCTACAGTCATTCGTTTTTAATTACAACAAAATCGTTACATGAGAAATCGAGTGAATATCAAATGTTGTAAAAATATGAATTTCAGATTCTCATACAAATTTAATTTGAGTTTCTTGTAGACATTTTTTTTTTTTTTTTTATAAAGCTATATCTACAAATTTATGAGGAATCTTGTATTACATTTTCATGTCTTAGATTTAAAAAGAAAAATTTGCACAGTCTTATCATTGAGCATACCTCTTACTTCTTATACTATGGTAGATTGTATGGATAGGCCATAATATTTTGATTTTTTGATTTTTCAATTTAATATATCCCCGAATAATATTTTTAAATTATAACAAAAAACCAAAATCATTAATATTAATTTTAATAAGTAATTTCGTCCAAATTTGAATTTAAAATGTCTGTAAAAAATAACTGTGTTAGCAGTTATTGTTAATAACAATCCTTAGCTATAAAAAATGAACATTTTATAAAATATGAACTTGCACATAGCCAAAGTCGCTTAATATCCACTATTCAACCACATATTACTACATCTTTATTGTATATCTGATTGAATGCTTCTAAAGCTATTGGTTCATTAATCATTTGACTGACCAGTGACCAATTGTACTGTTAAACACTTCAATAATTTTACTATAAAAATTATGAACTTTCAAATCAAAAGGAAATATAAATATCACAATAAAATAAAATATTAAATAATTTGCAAAAAAAAATGACTACCTACACTATATTTTCCTGGTAACTTAGAAAAACATTTTTAAAAATAGAAAAAAAAATATACATAAATCTATATATATCAACAACAATTAAAAACTCAACGCAGGGGTGGATTTGGGGAGTTATAGAATTATATAGAAACCGGATTACTTCCTAGATCCTTTTCTATTTTATTATAATTTTTTTTTATATAATTTTAGTTGTTTTGTCAAAACTCAAAATGCATGAAAATCATTTTAAATTTTAACTGTACATTTTATTTTATATTATTTGAGTATTTGACTAATGTTTGTGCAGTAATGCAGTATATTTTGTGATATTTGAGCTAATTTTATTAGAAAGTAAACTATAATCTACTGTGTAATCTACCGTGGATATCTTGACCATTGAATATTTTGTCCTGTTAATAATATAATAATTTCCCTTTAAACAATTATTTATTTATTAATATTTACTATAAAATATTTATTATTTAATTATTTATTATATAATATAATATTTTGCCTCCCGGAAGAATTTCAGAGATTGTCCACTAGAGTGCACTGTATTTCAAGTGTGCAGTCTCCATTCCAGTAAAAAGAATACTTCTTGATTTTTATTTTCAAGGTTGGTACCAAGATATGACATAGTTCTTATCATGATTGGGTTAACTGTAATATCTCGCCGGATTTCCTCCCCACTCTGAATGATACGTGATCCACCTAATGTTTATCAGTTGTCATCAATTCTGATAAGCTGACGACCACACCAGTGGTATCCACCACTGGCTAATGGTATAACCTGAAAAATCGTATTTTGTTGTTATTAAATATTAAGGATCTGTGATCCGTCTGGTGTCTTCTATTATTTATATTTCTTTTTGTATTAACATCGTTCGCAGACTTTATCCGTATTCATCCGACTTAAGGTAAGACTAATAATTAATTTAAATAACAAATCGTAATCGCTATTGACTGTTTCTTTATATTTTTCTGTACATATTTACGTTTTTCGTAGACGGATAATTTTACGTAGCTGTTACTTTTAGTTTTTAGTATTATTGTCGTTTGTGTTTATTGATCAATATTTTGAACTTTTATTCCAGATTCTGAACAATGGCTCCTCGTTATGAGCTTGCGGTTGGTATGAAACGTGGTCACAAGACCACAAAAATCGAGAGGGTCGGTAAAGTCAGTGGTAAAGAACTATCAGCCAAAAGCGAAAAGCTCAGACAAGCCCGCACCAAAGGCGTAAGTAACATAGTATAAATTATTCTGTATACGGAAATAAGTTAGTATTTTGTTTTTACCATCTTGACTACTAAGGGCCGTTCTTACAATGTCCTGTAAAGTGTCGGTTAACGCTAACCGATTGATAACAGATTTTATTACCGACAGAATTCGGCCGGTTAACTTTAACCGGACATTGTAAGAACGGCCCTTAGTTTAATAAGTATGTCCACAAATTCACATAATCAATGTTTAATTCACTTTTTTAATCGACAAATGAAACGAGTAGAAATTTATGATACATTTGGCTAAACTACCTAATGTCTTGCAGATATTTGTTTGCGTGAAATTAACTGTTATCTTTATACTTCTTAATAATTAAGATTGTACTCTATAAATTAAATGTATAACAATTCATCCTGTTTGAGATCAATTTTTACTATATATATTATATTTAATGTAACTAATATTGGTCTAAATTCTATATGAACTAAAAAAAACTCTTTAGCGAATAGTCCTGTTATTATCTATATTTATAGTTTCATACTTCATTGCATTTTTTATGTTGAAATCCAATAGCTTAAAGAATACAAATTAGATAAGTAGTGCACTGATAAAAGTGTAAATTAATTTGGCATTTTTTGATTATTATACTACCTATTTTATAGAAGACAACGCTCTGACTTTGTAATATTTATGTTATCAAAATATGAATGATTGATGTTTGAAAAATATCTGTAGAATCCATTTATCCATAAGTCAATACAGAATTCATCTTACCATTATACTAAAATAATTTGTTTCTGCTAACATTTTAATTTACAAAGCATAATAAGTAGCTACAAGTCTAAGATAAGAAATTACTTTATTTGAATCTTTGCCTTAAGACAAATTAATTTAATTATTTTATCAAATATTAACATGAAAAACAGGTAAATGTCATGTTGTACATTTTTAACTTCCTATATCCAAAGTAGAATATAATTTAATTTAAATTATGACCTAGTCTTATATTCAATGCATTGATAGTTTAAGATGTATATTTAAATCTGTTTTTGTTTTCATAGCGTTTGACTAAGCACAACAAATTCATCAGAGATGTTGTAAGGGAAGTTATGGGTCATGCACCATTTGAAAAGAGAGCCATGGAATTGTTGAAGGTATCCAAAGACAAGCGTGCATTGAAATTCTTGAAACGACGAGTAAGCATATATTTCATCTATTTACCTACTTATTTAATTATTTTTAATTTACTGAATATGACTAAAACGCTTATAATTTTATTTTTAGTTGGGAACACACATTCGCGCCAAGAGGAAGCGTGAAGAACTCAGCAACATTTTATTGCAAATGAGAAAGGCACAAGCTACCCACACAAAATAATTTCAAAGCTTTATAATATCTTTGTTTGATATGTAATAAAAATGTTGACTGCTAAGAAATCTGCATTTTCAATGAATCCTTAATTTTGTTTTTAATTGTATTAAACACCATAGTAATGTTAACATAAGGTTTTAGTTAATGCGATCGTATGTAATGAATATAACTCAATTATAGAATACAACTACGAGTATTGTGTATGTTCTAGCTACATTTTACTTGGTTGTATTAATGTGAACTTACGGGGGGGATATGAGTGCTCAGGCACCCCCTGCCGTCTAAGCCACTAATAAAATAAATTTTTATTCAAAATTACATAATCTAAAATAGAAAGGTGTAACCATTATTTTTAGATAATGAGCGGAGTGATGTGGTTAAAAAATTTTTGTTTCTGTCATCGCTGTATTTGGGACAGTACGACTGCTTTGATTTTCTTCAACAGTATCTTGATCGATGGGAAAATGAATCTGGTTGGTTCATTAGGATGGTCAAAATTTAAAATTACAATAGTTTTAAAAGCACCTGGGAAAACAAAATAAAAATGGGAAGTTTTAAGCAAAATCAGTTTTCAAAAAAATCTTGCTTTTTGGTGTAACTCTATAAACTGGATATCTATACAAATATACACGGTAAAATTTTCAAAATAGTTTTAAGTGGTTTATGAACATTTTTAGTTTTTTTTTTCTAAAAATGTCAATAACATTTTAAAGCTTTTAACATTTAATATAATATATGGTTACAATAGCAGTTGAAAAATACAGTCACATTTTTTTCTTATAAGCATTTAAAGTACAAATGTTGACAAAAATACGTAAAAATCACAAAAATTCATAAAAAAAAGTACTTTTAAATCTAAAATTAGAAAATTTAAAGCAAGATTCCTCATAAGTATGTCTATCTTTATCAAAAAAAAAAAATATCTACCTGAAAGTCAAATTAAATTTTTACATCATTAGATAATCTCTCAATTTCTCATGTAGGCATGTAGCAATTTTCTTATTTTGTTGAAATTTAAACACGAATAACTGTAGATACGTGAAATTGTACACATAATATAACATCTAATCAATTTCCATACTTGATAAAATTTCCAAAATATTTTGAGCTGTTAACTGACATTTTAAATTTTTATTTTAGAATCTGAGTAGTGAGTGGAACGATGAATGTATTGATTTTACATTGATGTGTGTTTTTTTTTTTGTGTGTGTACACGATAGTAGTCGAAATAATGCTTCGATTTTCGACTTCAGTATCTGGTTCGATTGGAAAGTGAATATCGTTGGTGCATTGGGGAGGTCAAATTTTAAAATTCCTAGTACTTTTCAAAAACAAAAGAAAAATTTAGGAAAAACGGGAATTTTTACGCAAAATCGATTTTTCAGAAAATTGAATTTGGTTTTTGGTGTAACTTTAAAACAAATGACCGTACATACATGAAATTTTCACTGGTTGTTTATATTTGCATTTTCTATACACGATAACATTTTCAAAATATTTTGATTTATTTTGAACTGTTTAGGGACATTTTCATTTTCCATTTTTTTTTTAGTTTTTTTTCTAAAAATATCAATAAAATTTTATTTGTTGGTTGCAAAAGCTTGAAAATTTAATAGAAGGCTCCTAATACGTTGTTTCAAAGGCAGATGAAAAATATTAAAAATCCTTAGTCACAATTTTTTTTTATAAGCATTTAAAGTTCAAAAATTTACAAAATATGGAAAAATCACGAAAATTAGTAAATTATTTTGAGTTAAGAATTCGTAAAAATTTTTCTTTTTAAATCTAAGATTTGAAAATGAAACACAAGATTCCTTATAAGATTATCTACCTTTATCAATAAAAAAATCTCTACCGGACAGTCAAATTAAATTTTTATGAGCGTTTGAAATTCAAATTTTTACAACATTGAATATTCACTCGATTTCTCATGTAGCGATTTCCTTATTTTGTAGTAATTCAAAAACGAATAACTGTAGATACATGAAAATTTCACTGAATATTCATATTAGCATTTTCTATACACTGTACAATTTTGAAAATATTTTGAATTTTTTGAGCTGTTTACGGACATTTTCAGTTTTCAATTTTTTTAGTTTTTTTTTCTATAAATATCAATAAAGTTTTATCTGTTGGGCCAAAAAGTGTAAAAATTTAATACAAGGCTCCTGATATATTGTTACAATAGCAATTGAAAAATTTTAAAAATACATAGGCACAATTTTTTTTATAAGCATTTAAAGATCGAATTTTGACAACATTTATCAAAATCTCGAAAATTATCAATCATTGTAATTAATAAATTATAAAATGTTCAGTTTTTATAGCTAAGGATTGAAAATTTAAAACAAGATTCCACGTAAGTACCTAGTTAATTCTCTTACCGAAAAATCTAAAAAATATACAATCACAATTTATTTTTATAGTCATTTTATGTTCAAATTTGGACGAAATTACATATTAAAAAACCTAGTTATTTTGTTGTGATTACCTATATAATATTATTCGTGGGTACCTACTTGAAACTTCTAAAGTGTACTATTATATCATATCTATGATAGTATCAGGGTTTGTTATTGATGTTGATGTATAACGTGTTATAAGTACCTAATGGATATTGTGATAATGTGATAATATGATTAATTTGGAATTTATTATATTTCAATTTTTTTTTTAATACCATAGATATGTATATAATTGTCTTAAACCTAGACTGACATACCGTCTTCGCTCAGAATCGTTTTTTTATACAATGATATTGTATCATTCAATTCAAAATTTAATAGCATCCATTATACAGTGACCCACTTGTAACCTACTGTACAGCAGAGCGACATCCACTTACCCACCTTTTTTATGCTTAACTGTCAATAAAATTTCATTTGTTGGGTCAAAAATTTAATACAAGCTAGGCTCCTGCTATATTTTTATTATAGCAATTGAAAAGTTTTTAAAATACATTTAGGCAATTCTTTTTATATATTTAAAGTTCGAATTGTGACAAAATTTTTAGCTTTTATAGTTAAGGATTGAAAATTTAAAACAAAGTTCCACGTAAATAGGTAAATAAATTACTTTATTCATAAAAATATCATCAAATATACTTTGTAATATTATAGTCAGACAATCTTATTTTCCTTATACAATGATATTATACCATTGAATTCAAATTTAACACCATCCATTACAGACTACAGTGTTCCAATTGCAACCTACTGTACAGCAGAGCAACACCTACTTGCCCACCTTTTTTTTTAGCACCCCTTGTTAAAATCTGGATTTGTGCCTTTATAGTCAATTTTATCTAGTTGTTTTAAATTACAGATTTCTGACTGTAATAGATACCACCCAACAACATATATTTTTAAATTTGAATTGAAAAACTTGATAACACTAAAAATAATACAAATATGAAATAACCAAAATCAAAATACCTCCAAAAAAGAAAACTACAACAATTTTTTTTCATACTTCTCAATCAGAGGACTCTACTCCACAGATTTATGGAAAATATATATTGAAACCCAAATATTTTTGATAAGAATAGCCTTTAAACTAGTTTAATGATGGAATTTATAAAATATAGTTTGTAATTGTTTTGAGTATTATAACAACTTAATATACTTTGAGTACAGTACTCTATATCAAAAAAACAATATTCTCCAACATGCTGCATCAAATAGATTGATGGCGATGGTAGATAAATGTTTTTGGTTTTAATTAAAGAGCGGATTTTTATGCAAGAAAAAACTTTAAATTGTGCAACATGGAAAAAAATTCTTTGAAACAAATTAAATAACTTAGTTATAATTATTTGTATATATTTAATAGACAAAATTGTTTTAATTCTTAATTGAATATTAAAATGGATAATCACTTAGTGGCTACAAAATATATTATTATATGTTGCTTGACAAAATATTCTTTTTACATTTTTTTTTAATTTTTGGTCAATATTCAATATATAATATTAATAAAGTTTGTCAAAATATTCAGAAATCATTAAATATGCAAAAAATGTATTAGTCTTAAACTTAAAGAATTTGTAAAGATCACTGACAAAAATCCCAAAAATATGTGATTGTATAGGAATCCGGGCTTCAGTAATGAACTGTGCATTCCAACTTCATAACATATTCTTTAAAAGTACCTATAATTAACATTTATCACACAACAGTTTAGATGGAATATTTAAAATAAAAGAACCTTTTTTTTCTTAAAAAAAATATGTATTTAATAAAAATTATCAAAACATTGTAATCACATAGTAAAATGTATATAAAAATATTTTTAAAAAAATTGGTAATTCCAAATTAATGAAAAAAAAATGAAACTTATCTGCTAGCTTCGTTTTAAATACAGTACAAAACTATAAAAATACAAAAATAAGTTAAATAATGGATAATTACTAATTAGTTACAAATAAATAGTTTCACAGCATAGAATATAATTAATTTATATAATATATATTATAGTTAAATCTAGTTATTATTATTTATTAAAAATAATTCGTTTTTTAATACTGAAATATCACAATTGATAAACAAAAAAAAAATGCATACAATTACCTATTACTGATTTAACATAAATAATAATTGAATGATCACATTTTTTAAGCATTTTAACCTAATTTTACTCCGAATAGTTTTAAACTAGATTTAAATGCAATCTAATCATAAAAAATCACAATCATCTATTGCACAAATCACAATGGTTGGCCCAACTAACAGATCTGAATATGAGGAATTATAATTGACTTAGTAAGATTATATAAATAAATTAACACATAAATTTGATTTGTCTGTCTTAAGCGGCTATGTACCTTGTATATGTTTAAATGTTCATTATGTATTATTACATAAAATAAATAAATATTAGCATAGATTAAATATGAGCTATATTTAATCTATGATACCATCAACTAAAATATTAAAGAATTTTCTTCGACATTGTTATATACATGTAAATATGTAAAAATATTTTATACATTTAAAGATATTAATGTTATGTCATATATCAGAGTTGTTTATTAGCAGATTACTAGTATCCAGAGCAGAATCTGGGACTTGGAATGTAGATCCTTGAAACCCGAGTGAAGCTTCAAACAACTACAAATATTATTACATTTTGAATAAAATATTAGGTAATCAATGTAAAAATAAAATTTTTGATCATAATAAAAAAAAAAAAAAGGTTTAATAAAGAGTTTTAAAAACAGTTATAATATGTAATGTAATGGCTATTAAAATTAAATTAAATTGCTAACAGTTTGCCTGTTAGCCGTCAATAATGAACCAGTGTTATACTAGAAATTTGAAAGGGAGTGATTAAAATATAACTTGGGTCTCCAACACCGGCCTTATAGACGACTGATGAGGTTTCATGAATTTTAGATTCTGAGTGGAACGATGAATGTATTGATTTTACAATGATGTGTTTTTTTTTTTTTGTGTGTCTGTGTACATGATAAGTAGTCAAAATAATGCTTTGACTTTCAACTTCAGTATCTTGTTCGGTGGGAAAATGAATATTGTTGGTGTATTGGGGAGGTCATAATTTAAAATTCCCAGTAATTTTCAAAAGCGCCAAGAAAAACCAAAGAAAAATTAAGGAATTTATTAAAAGACTTTGGTTTTTGGTGTAACTTTAAAATAAATGACCATAGATACATTAAATTTTCACTGGTTGTTTATATTTGCATTTTCTATAAACGATACAAATTTTAAAATATTTTCATTTATTTTAAACTGTTTAGGGACATTTTCAGCTTCCAATTTTATTAGTTTTTTTTTCTATGAATGTCAATAAAACTTTATATGTTGAGGAAAAATACTTGAAATTTAATTCAATGCACCTAATATATTGTTACAATTACATTTGAAAAATATTAAAAATCCTTAGTCACAGTTTTTTTTATAAGCATTTTAAGTTCAAAAATTGACAAAATATGGAAAAATCACGAAAATTAGCAAATTATTTTGAGTTAAGAATTCATAAAAAATTTTATTTTTAAATCTAAGAATTGAGAATGTAATACAAGATTCTTTATAAAATTATCTACCTTTATCAAAAAATGTTTATAAGAAAGTCAAATTAAATTTTTATGGGCTTTTGATATTCAAATTTTTACATCATGGATATTCACTCGATTTCTCATGTAGCAATTTCCTTATTTTATTGTAATTCAAAATTGAATAACTGTAGATACATGAAAATGTTATTTGAAAATATTTTGACTCTTATTGAGCTGTTTACGGACATTTTCAGTTTTAAATTTTTTTAGTTTTTTTTTTTATAAATATCAATTAAGTTTTATCTGTTGGGCCCAAACAGTGTAAAAAATGAATACAAGGCTCTTGATATATTGTTACAATATCTGATGAAAAATATTAAAAATACATAGGCACAATTTTTATTTATAAGCATTTAAGGTTGGAATTTTGACAAAATGTATCAAACTTAAAATTTAATCATTATTTTGTAGTTAAAAATTTATAAAATGTTCAACTTTTATATCTAAGGATTGAAAATTTAAAACAAGATTCCACGTTAGTAGTTAATTCTGTTACCAAAAAATCTAAAAACTACATTAGCACAGTTTATTTTTATAGTCATATTAAGTTCAAATTTGGATGAAATTACATATAAAAACCTAGAATAACTATTTTAGTTATTTTGTTGTGGTTGTATAATAATTATTCGTAGGAATTTGAAACTTCTAAAGTACACTATTATACACCTATGATAGTATTAGGGTTTGTTATTGATGTACAAAGTGTTATAAGTACCTTAGGGGTATTGTGATATGATTAATTTGGAATTTATTATATGTACCTATTATAGGACAATTTTTTTTAATACCATAGATAAGTATATAATAGGTCTTATACCTAGACTGACATACCGTCTCCGCTCAGAATCGTTTTTCTTATACAATTTTATTATATTATGAATTGAAATTTAATACCATCCATTATACAGTGACCCACTTGTAACCTACTGTACAAGCAGAGCACCTTTTTTTATTTTATTTAATGCTTACTTGATAATTGTATTATTATTTAATGATAATAGCATAAAGAAAAAAAATAGCACAAAGTTCAAAGTAGGGGGGGAGGAGAATGGGTGAAAATCAAATACACCACTATAATACTATCCCTATGTTTGGAAATTTTTGAAATTGTCCAATGCCCATTGATAATAATCTCATGTACAGGGACACATGTACCAATCTGAAAGGAACATAATCGACCAGGACCATTGGTTGATAGCTCATTTATTATCACTGTATATTATTATAGAATATAGATTAAATAACACTAGTGACTAGACGTGTTATGCAATTTATGATGTTATAAAGTTGAGTTTAACTCTGTGAGGACACTTTAGATCAAACTCTTTGTGTATTAAAAAGTGTGATATAAGATAACTGTCAAACACATAATAAACAAAATGCTTATCAGTATAAATCCTAATCTCTAGAAGGAATGATAAAAACACTGTGAACTATCAACTAATCTATTTGAATTAGTCCAGATTCAATATTGTAAGTACTGAATATTAATATTTGAATATATTACTTGTTGACTATGAGAAGTGCCCCCATCGGGAGGCAACGGTAAGACAGATCCTCCCAAAGTAGCATATTCGCCTGGCGTCATCGTCAATAAAGTATTTATAGAGCCACGGCGAGAAGGACGCCGTATTGTTGCATAAGTATTATCTCCCTACAATAATATTTATAGGAATTAATAACATAAATCAATGTAGAATATCAAAAAAAGTCTAATATACCACTATATTATCTTGGCTTATCGGCATTTCTTTATTTTCTAGATCACAAAAAACTTGCATAGTTAATTCTTGTTCTTCATATAACTTTAATTTTCTGAAATAATATCAATAAATAAATAGTTAATAACAGTAGTTATGTATTAAATTTAGATACTGAGCTGAGGTTTCACAGTCATACTATATTGATATAATATTACTAAATTATAATTATTTATCAAATTTCATAATAGGTCGATTCACTTCCATTTTTAAACTAACAAAGCAAAAAGTGATCTGCTGATCGCCAATTTGCTATGTTACGCTCTTGTAAGAGATAGCAACGGAGACAACAAATGCCAGTGTAACGTCACAGAATAGATAAATGGTAACGTCCATTTTAAAATAAAACTGTATTTAATGACTTTTTTATTATAATACTTTAACATTGCTTTCGAGTTTGAGATACTTGTCTACTTATCAAATTCCTATATTTTTCTTTTTTATTTATAGACTTATTTAATTGAAAATATAATAAATTATTATTTTTAATCAATACAATCTTACTGTTCAATCCAGAGAGGATTTTCGGTAGTACTGAGATCATCAATCACAGCTTTTTTTATCAATATATCGTTCTTTATTGAATTATTGTCCAAATCCGAAAACATCCTGAAGAAATATATATATATATATAATTAAAATTAATTATTATAATGATGTGCTTAATGTTATAAAATAATTTTTAAAATTGATTTACCAATGTCTGAAGCAGCAACAAATTATTAATACACCAATACATCCAACAGTCAATACCACTAATAAAGCTACCAAAGCAGCTATAGTAGGTTCAAATGATTCATTTTGGGTAACGACCAAGGCAGGCTACAACAAAATTAATATTTCATAATTTTAATACAATGTATTATGAGTCATTATCAATCAATCACTACTATTTTAAGTGAAGATTTATATAGTAATTATTAATGAATTAAATAGATTAAATTAAATTCTTTAATGATTATTATAACATTTTTTTATTAAAAGAATTATGATTGCAAAATTAAAATTTTTAACTCAATTGATGCACTGATTAACAATAATAGTTAGCTGTATATTCATACATACCACAACGTTTTCAATAGCAAAATTATGATAATAGTCTTTCAAATAATCATATTTATCATCAATGATAGTTAGGACTTCCCAACTAGACATTATATCATTTCTTGTTGGATCAACTAAGTGTAAGTACACATCACTCCAATCCGGTTGAATATAACCATGCTGGTTAACATGGTAACGAACATCGTCCAATACAACAATCATATTAGTCACATTTGCTAAACTAGAGAGTATTTGTTCTCGACCTTCATTAACAGTTTGTGGGGCGCGTGACACTATTAACTTTACTAATTGGTGGGTTTCATACACCCATACCTAAAAAATTGTAATTTCTATTTAGAATAGTCATTCGGATTTGATAAGTGTTGTTAAATTACAGTGGCTATTGTTGATGCAACTCTATGGGGAGGTGCGCTTTCTTTGGCAGCTATTTGTAAGTCAAAACGTCCTTGATTATACTCCGCTAAGAATGCAGCTGTAGAAATACGGCCGGATTGATCAATTGAAAAAGGATCTTTTAGTGAAGATGACCATGTCAAATTATTTAATCCCGGTCTAAATAATTGTGTATTCTCTATAGAGTATACAACTGTACTGTTTTCTTCGTAGTCCAGATCAATTGATGTTACTTGAAGTACAACATCTCCAACTTTGGCCATAGTATTTACTCCTGAATATTAAATATTTTATATTTTATACATACATATTTTGAATAATTAATTAAGTAATTGTTTAAATTTAAAATGTTCAATAAAAATGGTTGATACACAGTAGAAGTTATTTAAACATAAATAAATGGATTTAAAATTTTAACATAAAAATGTTATCTTTTTAGTAAACAAATTAACTAGATTTACATAAATGTTTTCTTTATTATTATAAAGTAATGTAATAGTTAATTTCATTGTAAAAAATTGAACATAGTGAAAAGGATTCATTATTTTCTTATTGATGTAAAAGCTTAACTTTGTATATTTATTAACTTAAAAAAAAAACTAAAGCCATTTTGAAATTTAAATAAATACATGAAAAATAAAACTAAAAATTTGATAAAAAAAATGACAACTTAAAGGAATGATGTTCAAATATTATGTTAATTATAACTCAATAAGTATTTGAGAACAATAAGGTAAAATCAACATTTACTGACCTGCATAATAATGACTAGTTTGAAATACTGGGGCATTGTCATTTTCATCTGTTACCAAAATTAATACTTTAGCCAAACTATAATCCTCTTCTTCTCCAATCTGTTAAGGAAATAATAAAATGAATAGATTAATAATATTATTTATATAATTAATAGATTTAGTTATATAGATACATAGTAAAATTGGTTGAAATGATATAGGCCAAGACCCCATATAATGATATAATTAAAATATAAGTCCATAATATAGTTACATTTTTTTGTTGATAACTGACATCATTTGAAGCTTTGACAATAATTTGATATGAACTTTGTTTTTCTCGATCTAATGTATTGTTTGCATAAATAGTTCCATCAAGACGGTCAACAATAAATGGAACTGGTATATTTGATACTAAATAATAATAAATACGTGCATTTTCACCTTGATCTAAATCAGTTGCTTTAACTTGACCTAAAAAATATTTGAACAATACAACTTAATAATATTACCTATTACTATTAATGAATAACCATTGTAGTTTATTTTAATATTTTAAAAGTGATCTTTTATATAATAATACATTTTTAATATCAATGTAAATATATTACCAATCTTGTATTGAGGTCTATTATTTTCTTTGATATAAAACGTATACAATGGTTTATGATCATTGTATACAGGAAATCGAGGCATATTATCATTAACATCAATTAAATTGACTGTGAGAAGCTTCAAAGATTCATGCCATGTTGGTGATCCTTGATCACGTGCTACTAATACCAACTAAATAAATAAGTTTTATCATAAATATTGACAATTTTTTTTTTTAATTTAAGATAGAAGGAGATATTAATTATAATTTAATAAATTTATTAAGTACTTGATAGGATGATTTAGTTTCATAATCGAGTAAAATTTGAGTTTTTATCTGTCCTGTTTCTGTATTTATAGTAAATGCATCAGTTTGTTGTGCATTTGTATTGGAAACTTTGAAAAAATAAGTCACTCTGCCATTTTCTCCAAAATCTTTATCTTCAGCACAAACTGTTAAAATTGAGGTCCCAACACTAACATCCTTAAATTAACAGTGAAAATTTTAATTTTTTGGGAACAGTGTTAAATTATAATACTATACAATGTGTCAATGTGTCCCGTGAAGAAGTGATCGGCCGGTGCCGTATGATAGTATAGCTTAAGTTATGAAAAAAACCTCTTTAAAGGGGAGTTCTAACTTATTATTTTTTTAGTTATGGGCAATTTAACTTTTTTGAAAACAAAACCAAACCGCTCATTTGCTGATGTATCTTCAAAACTTTTCAACTTTTTACTATAATTTTTTTTTATTTGAAAGCTATTGTGCTGAGCCAAAACTGACATACACAATCAAACAAGAAATGCACACACTATTTTTATAAAAATAAAAAAGTAAAATAAAATTAGGACTTTTAAAAGGAAACCGAGTATAGCTCCAAATAAGGCTGTATTTATCTTTTATTTTATTCTACTTTTTTTAATTTAATAAAAATAATTTGAACATTTCTGGTTTGATTGTGTATGTGTTGAAAGCACAGTAATAGCTTTAAAATAAAAATAAAATCATGATAAAAAGTTGAAAAGTTTTAAAGATACATCAGCAAATGTATGGTAGTTTTGGATTATTTAAAAAAAAAAATTGAATTGCCCATAACTAATAAAGTTAGAGACCCACCCTATAAAGGGGTCTTTTTCATAGCTTAAGGTATATACTATTATATGATGCCAGCCAGTCACTTCTTTATAGAACACATTGTATCATCCAAGCAACGAAAAAATATATTTCAATGTTATAAAATCAGATGAACTAACTTCTGGGATAGATAGTGTGGAATTATTGGTTGACGGATGAACAAATGTTGGTTGATTTTGATTAACATCTAATACAGTAACGTTAACATTTGCTTGATCCCGAAATACACCATCAAAAACATCAACTTTGATCAAATATATACCTTTTTTACCATTCAAGGGCATAGCTGAATATAAAAATCCCGAGTCCTTATCAAGGGTAAATAAATCTAAAATCAATTCATAAAAAGGGTTATCAGTAATTACATTCATAAATATTGTTTATGACATTTTTACAAACCTTTATTCCCTGATATAATAGAGTATTTCAATTTTGAATTCAGATCTTTGTCAATGGCTTTCAATTGCATAAGAGGTGTTGTAGGAGTTGAGACAATAATAGACAATGAATAATCTTTTGGGTCGAATTGTGGTGGATTATCGTTCACATCAATTAGTTTAATAAATAGCTGAAAATAAAATAATCAGCATATACTTAATTTGTATTTATGAATTTTACTAGGTATTTAATGGTTCATGCCAGAAGCAATTAGTAATGCAAACTGTGGGGTCTATCATTAAAGAATACTTCTATATTTAATTGTTTTTATTATTTTACTACAAATTATATTTACCAATGCTACTGCAGTTTTTGCCAAACCAGGTGGAGCTTCATCTTTAGCTTGAATTGTTAACATAAATTCTGACGTTACTTCACGATCAAGAAAACTAGAATCATTAACTTTTACAATTCCTGTGTCTTGATCAATAATAAAACCATATTTATTGCCAATTATGGAGTAACGAACTAGTCCAAACAATCCTTTATCAGCATCAGTGGCGATTACAATTGTCACAAAAGTTCCAACTGGTGCATTTTCTTCTATTTCTGCTTTGTACTCAGTCTGAAAAAGTATTACATTACTAATGCATCAATATTTTTTACAATAAATAATTAAATTTATTTTGCTGTAGTATACTAATTTAGAATTAGTAATCACTATAGTATGAAAAGTATATTATACTATAATTAATATAAATTGAATTTGGCTTGGTATGGATTAGATTTTGCTTTTAAGTTATAACAATTTATAATATATTTTGAAAATATAAACAAACTATAGAGTTAAGATACAAATTATTAATTGATGTATTTGAACTACGCAAACAAAATAATTATAAAACTTGTAAGTTGATAGTGCCATTGAAAATAAAATTATCTACAACAACTTATTTACTTATCATAACATTTCCTCAATTTCATAAATTATAGCCTGGAAATGATTAATACATTTATAATCTGAAGTAGAATAATATTAAACAATTATGATCACAAATATTATCTTATATAAAGAATTAAGAAATTATTATTGAGTACAAATTCAAAATATATAATATAAATTGATACCTGATTAAAAACCGGTGTATTATCATTTATGTTGGTAATTTTTATAAATATAGTAGCGGTAGTTGAAAGTTGAGGATGGCCAGTGTCATAAGCAATCAAATTAATATTAATATTTTCAATGGTTTCAAAGTCAAGCTTTTGTTTAGTGAACAAAACTCCTGAAATAAAAATTACTTAAATAACAACAAAATAGTGAAAATTATGATCATATTATAGACTAATGTCTAATATGATATTATATTTATATATTTTATAATTTTTTTATAGTTGGATTTTATTTACCTGATGTCCGATTAACATCAATATATGGATTATTTGGTATTATATCATAGTAATCAATCCCCGAGTCATCAGTTGCAATAAATTTCTCAATAACAGTACCAATTAGCTGTTCTTCTGAACATGATACAGTATAGTATGGATTTTCTTTAGTCCAAGGTGGCTTAAATACTGGAGGTGTATCGTTTATATCTATAATAGTCACCATTAGTGTTCCTAGAAATATGAAAATCATTTAAATATCTACCATTAATGAAATATAACATATTGTTTCAAGCTTAAATGAATACTTAAAACAGAAATAATACAATAAAACATTTTAAAAAGCATAATACACAATTTTTTAGAACATTGATGCTTTTTGAACATAATTGAAAATTCAAGTTTTTTTTTATATTTAATATTCTATATAAATTTTACAAAATATATTTTATTGAGTAATATACTAATATTATATTTTATATAATAACCTGTAGACTGCTGAACTTCTGGAGCTGATGTATCAGTGACTACGACTGATAGACTAACAATAGCTGCAATATTTCTGTCAATAGGTTTGGCTATTATAACATCACCATTAGATGCTCTAATTTTGAACCAATTTTTAATATCTACATTGTTATCCAATTGATTTCCATTGCTGCTAACCCCAGTGATCTCTGAAGAATCCAAAGAGTAATTTAATGCATTTTCGTCACTTGTATCAGGATCATGAGCAATAAGGCGGTATATAACTGTACCAACAGGAACATCTTCAGACACCTAAACATTTTTTCATAATATACAACTAAAGTTATTAAGCTATTATCAAAATATTTCAGATTCAACAATAAACATTAATTCAAATCTGTACCTCTGTTCGCTGTATTGTTGGAGTGAATTCTGGACTCTTGTTATTCACATTTATTATATTTATGAATACTGTTGTACTCCCAGTTAATGCAGGCGTGCCTTTATCAATTGATAATGTTTTAATGGCATAATTTGAATGTTGATCAAAATCAAGTTTTGATGAAGTATAAATAAGTCCAGTAATATGGTCAATAGCAAAATGATTAAAAGAACCTTCCTGTATGTGATATGTAAGATTTGCATTCATATCTAAATCTTCATCTATCGCCTCAACTCTAATAACACTAAAACCAATGGGTTCATTTTCATGAATAGAAACATTATAAGATTCCAACAAAAATTGTGGACTATTGTTATTGACATCTAACACAACAATGTTCACAGTTGCTTCATCACTATAAACCCCATCACTTGCCTAAATTAAACAAATTACCAACTTTTAGCTAAGCAATTATGAATTCAAATACACATACACAATATAGGTACTTACAATTATTAAGAGTGTTATATTATTTTTTGTTCTTTGAAGTCCATTAGGAGATGAAATTAATATTTCTCCACTACTTTGATCTATTTTAAATAAATTTCTTTCATTTCCAGAAATGATTGAATATATGATTGACGATGATTTATCTGCATCAACTGCCTGTAAACAAATTATTTCAATTAATTAATTTTTAGAAATCGTAAGCATGTATACATTCTAAACAAACAATTTAACTTCTGTTATGGTTAATAGTAAAGTGAATTAACCTATTATCAAATTTAGAATTAATAATATCATCTAGTGAATTTCAAAGTATTTTTTTGGTAGTTAACATAAAAGAAAAAAAATTGTTAGTCTTAGATAACAGGATTGTGATGTTTCATAAAATAAGGGAGGTAGTCTTGGGCGGTAGTCGCGATAACAGCCATAGTCTCGTATAACAGGAAAATAACTTTGATTAATGCATTATAATATTATTAATTAATGTAATCGTCTAATTTCTTTATATAAATGGAAAAAAACATGTATATATAAATTATAAATACATTACTTATTGTTTAGCTTACTTGAACAATAAGAGGAGGTTCAAATATTGTTACTCCTTCATCGATGAGACTTGTATATGAGTGTTGAATGAAAATTGGTGGATTATCATTACTGTCAGTTACCATAACCATTATTGTTACTGAATTTGACTGTCCATTACCATTGTCATCAGTTGCTATATAAGTTAAGTAATAATTTGATTGTGTTTCATAATCTAGACATGGTGCTTTTCCGACATTTGAACAAAATGCAACAGATATTATACCAGTATTCTTGTCTACATTAAACCTAAAATAAATACGGTTTATAATAAGAAATTTAAAAAAATTATTTTTATTGAAGTATTCAATTAGTTTTAAAGTAGAAATGGTAAAAATTCTTTGAATAAACTTAATACAAGATCCAAAATGTTTCATAAGATATTTACTTATCAGCCGAAGGTCCACTTAATTTATAAACAATATTTGGATTACTATCTCTATCAGTTGCTTTAACTACTCCTATTATAGTTCCGGGTGTAGCTGTTTCATTTACTGTAAGAGTATAGGCATTGTTGTCAAATTCTGGAGGGTTATCGTTAACATCTGTTACTTGAATTGTAAGTGTAGCTGTTGAAGTTAAATCATATTTTTCACTTGGTTCACTTGCTATTACCTATTTTATCATGAGAAACAAAATAGATTTATAAATTTATTTAATTTATTAATATAAAACTCTATTACCAAAACAATAAACTTCCTCTGATTAGGATCTTCATAGTCTAATTTCACATTATTTGCTAATTTTATTCCAACATCTATTGAACCAATAGCTTTGGTTGGTTCGATTACAAACAATTTTGACTCGTCGTGCAACCGCAGCGAAAATTCTGAATTTGCACCCTAGGGAAAAAAATGTATTGAAAAACAATTTACAAATATTAGGTATGTTCTTACTATATCCGAATCTGTAACACTCATGTTTAGGTTGGGTAAAGGAGTGCCGGGAGCTATATTCTCAGGTATTAATATAAAATAGTCACGCTTATTAAAAACTGGTGGTTCATCATTAACATCTTGAACAGTTATTGTAATAATAGCAGTGGATGAACTTAATTTGTCATCTAAAGCTGAGCCATTAAAGACTTCTCTGGCCTTAATAAAAAACATTAATTAATTTAAAACTGTCTTAATGTATAGTGATAAATAATGTAATATTCATATTATGTATACTTACTCGAACTGTTAATGTAATAATACCATTATTATTAGATAGAGTTTCTCGGTCTATTGGCTTTGCGGTACTTAAATCACCAGACAAACCATCTAAAGAAAAATAATCCATAGGATCTGCAAATAAACAATTTGTTATTATTTTAAATATTAGTTGGACAATATTATGCCCAAGGTAGAATTAGTTCTAGATTAAAAGTATAATTTAGTTTATTTACTTTGTATTAAGTCATAAACTATACTTCTTGGATCTCCTCTATCACCATCTTTTGCATTTACTGTTAAAATATGAGTTCCTACTGATATATCTTCACTAATGACAGTAGTTAAAGATCCATGAAAAATAGGAGGCATGTTTTGAATATCTTTAACATGTATATCTAAATTTATTTTGGTTTCATGTACACCATCCTAAAAATTACAAAATATATTATAAAGAAATATTAAAATTAAGTAACACAAAAATTAATACAGTATAATATAATATATTATATTATTTAATTTATACATTGAAAAACATTTGATTAAGCAATAGTGTACTGATCAATGAACATAGTATATTTATTGTCAAAGAGATAAAAATGTCATAGTATATAACAAAACATAAATAAAAAATGTAGTATTTGTAATATAGCTAAAGCCTAAAATAACAAAAGCTCCATAACTTTTATATTATCAGCAATTACTTACAGTAGCAACTAGTAACAGTTTGTAAAACTGAGTTTCTGAATACTGTATATCTCCATTTACAACTAAAACACCCAAATAGTAACTTTCACTGACATTCAAGGATTGTATTTTAAATTTCAAACATCCATCATCATTCTGAAAATTATATTGCACATTAAATATCTTCATTTAAAATATTAATTAAGTGGATTTTTTTTATTTATCAAACATGTAATTTAGACATTGAAAAAAATTACCTCATATATTATACCTAAACTATGGTAACATATAGCATAAGTGTTTAATCATTATATTATGCTCATTTAAGCCAATTTGATTTCATTAAAAATAAAAAAAATATAGAATCACCACGCCATGTAATAAACTATCAATTTATAAAGCTCATGTGGATGATGGAAATTGTAGCAGCAGTTAGAATGACAATTTTGTAGTGCCCCCCTCCCCCATGGAGGCCAAATTTTGTACACAATACAACATGTATATAATAATATAAATATAATATATGTATACTGAATGCCTATTAAAAATTATATATCCTCCCCTTGAAAAAATCCTAGATAGGCTACTGGATAGACACAACACCAAATAATATAAGGGTTAATACTTAATGCACAAAAGTAGTTGATTACTGAGAACTGATCGGAACAACGCCGTTTGATATGGTTTAGTTGGTGTCAGAGCTTAAGTTGCCATAATTTAATCAATGCAATTGTGTATGATATGCATGACAATAAAAATAATAAAATATAATAATGTTATTGACAGTGGAACGGTGGTAATTGACATCCACAAAAATTATGAAAATGTGCACAGATTTGGGTAAATTATGTGATTGTCAGACTTGTTGAAAAAAATGATAAAAAAAATGATGATTTTTGCTCGGACGTGATGTCTTTGCGTTTGTGTCACAGAGTTGTGTCCCATCCCACCTCTTCAGTGATTGAGTAAGATTGAGTTTGATTATTTCGCATTGTTTGATTACTGTAGTGGCGGTTGAAAGAAACAAGCATCGGAAGTATGCTACAATGCTTGTTCTTTGTACTTGCGACTGCTACAGACCCCATCAAAGTGTATCTTAATCTGTGGTATTATTTGTATCATATGTTATTATATTTATTTTAAAATTAATAACCTGAAAAATTGATTCACATCTAACTTCAAGTGGTTCACCAACTTTGTCTAAATCTTCAACATGGATCCATTTAAATACTGTAGTGCCAATTTTTGATTCTTCACTCACCATACCTTCATAAGGGGTATGTACAAATATAGGTACATTATCATTTTCGTCTAATATAATTACAGATATAGGAAGTCTGACAACATCAGCAGAGTCTTTCTGTTGAAGAGTTACAGTAAATCTTAATGTATCACTTTCCTAAAACACAAAAATAAAAAATATTTTAAATAAATTACAGTATTTATCTCCACCATGTATGTATGCGTAAAATGTGTAACTCTCAATAAGTCAAAATAATCTATTACAATATCTACCTCATGATCTAAAGGTTTTGCAACAGTAACAACTCCTGTATTAGAATCAACAACTAAATGATCAGTTCCTTCTATACCATATAGTAAATCATTTTCATTTCCAAAAGAATCAACACCTTCAAGTTTGTAAATAGATTGACCAACTGGAATGTTTTCAGACAGAGCTTCATTGTCCATATATTTATTGAATACTGGCAAATCTATAATATGTGTATTAACTATTAAGTAATCAAACATATTTTATTAAACAAATGTCAAAAGTCATATGTAACAAATAGGGGGGACATTTTAAAAATATAATAACACATCCCATTCCCAATACCATTTGATATTTTTGATTTGTAATTAATAAAATAGGAAATTTAGATGATCAGTTTACCTACTGAAAATGTTTAATAATTTCAAGTGAACCAACTGGTTTAGTATAATCCGTGATCATATAAAGGAACAAATAACTGATATTCATAATCATAATTTTTATTTAAATGCAATAAAGTAATTTTCATAATTAATATGATAACACGCTTGTCGTCTATGTAGGTATATCGTGTACATTATAAGGTCATATTTATATTCATATATATACTTAAATAAATATACCTAACGAAAGATAATTTTACAATTCTATTATATTGAATGTGAATATAAAATGTTCATTTACACAATGTCATTATTTATTAATTTTAGATTATTAGGTATCTAGTGACCTAAAATATTTTAAGATTGTACTGTACAATGGAATAAATTAGAAATGAAGTAAAATCAAAGTAGGTGATACAAACTGCAGTTTACTTTATGGATTATGAACTCAATTAAGGACAGACTTCTTAAATAATTCTTAGTAGGTAATTTTTATAAAAGTAAATTTAATTTTTTATTTTAAATACAAATTGATGTACCATTACAATTCACAGTTCACAAAATTAAAAGTTAAACTATTTAAATAATATGTTTATCAATCCTAAAACTAATCTAAATATATAGGTAGGTTAATGAACATTCAAAAATATTACCATCAGCATAGGAAGAAGATATAAGTAAAAAAGTCCATAATATGTGTTTCATTTTAATTATAAAAAAAACCACAGAGTAAATAAGTCAATGTTGATTAAACTTAATTAAGTATGCTAAAGTTTGAAACAAAAAACATTGGTCGTCGAACATTTTAAAACCAAACTATTGGACGAAAGCTTGAATAAAATTATAACGAAACCCAGTACATTTTCTCGTAGACCGAAAACGATAGATTAAATATAAATAAACACTATGCCTAGACGTCTGTACTACACCGATGTCCAGTAAATTAAACGACGATGTACACTCGGGTACATTATACTAATAGTTGAATAGTAACGAAATACGATGATGATGTTGGACAATAAACAGTAATAGTAGTAGTAGTAATAATAATAATAATAATAGGTGAAAGAACAGGTTGAAATACACTTTGCTGCACTACGGTCTACGGGTGCATACAGTGTGCACTATCGTGAATCGAGATATCGCCAGACGGCGTCTTATTGGTGACAAGATAGCGGCGTACAGGTGGTTAACCGCGGCGGGCTGACGAAGATCGTTCCTCATAAATTAATAAAAGAAGACGCAGACCCATAGAAAGATCAAAATAAATCTAGACATTTTTAAATAGAATCGGATGGTCTATTTATAATTACCGCATCGCGTTTAAAAATAATGTGTGTCGGGCGAAAGTCCAAAGTCCAAAGCTGCTGGTACAGTAAGGTCCGACCGTACGAATCGTTCCAACCGGTTGGACACACTGTGTTTTCGCGATAGCAGATAGCTCCATTCGTATTTCGTACATTAATTGACATCTTTTATTTTTCTCTTCCTGGCTCCTGCCGGCTGCCTATACGTCCGACGTCCCCGACTGCCACGACGAATGACGATCGTCGAACAGTAAATTTAACTAAATTACAATAATCTTTATCCTACAAATTAAAAGTTACAACGCAATCACGAACTCTTGCCCCCGACATAATAATACATAATACATAATACTATAATAGTATAATACGCAATGCATCATTAGTCATTACAAATTACAAATAACAATAATTATTATTGCTACAGACTGACAGTCGACAGACATAAGACAGTGCAGGCTACAGAGCTGGACCGTCCACTGTCCAGCCCGGACGGTGCCGAAGCCGACATGCACATAGCACATCCGCTGGCAGCGAAGAGCATAATATAATTAATATACCACAATAAATAATTAATCAAGGTGTATTTATATATACACCTAGTAGTTTTATTCTGACATAATATTATTATTACACGGACTACGATAAAATTTTTTATAGAAAATTTATCTTAATCCGTATATTATTATTATTAATTATTATCGATATCAACTGTTATCAATAACAATGTTATCATTATTATAACTGTTATTAAATAATTATTACTATTATTTACTAATTAGAGTTGTTATTATTATTGTTGGCTGTTGACCTCGTCGAGTATCGACCATGAACACTAGCTATAGTAGTTGTATAGTAACTGTTTCCACTCTACTAGTCATAATGACCTCGACCTACGGGCTACCAGATACGGAAACCAACATAGTAACATATAACTATATAAGTTCGCTAGATATTTATAAGAAGATACATCATAGAAAGTATAATGACATAGATGATATTTAGATTTTATTCATATCGTGGTTACATAGTACGAAATAGTATAATGTGTGACAAGGGCGGGAAGCGAGCAATTTCACTCATGGGTGACGTTTGAGGCACGAGGAGCCGCACCCTTAGGCGTGGGCAGCCACAGTGGCCTGCATACGCCCAAGACTGATATTGCCACAGATATATAAAAATACATTTTTTACATCTGTGGATATTGCCTTCCAACACGAGCCACATATTGCCTAACCTTCTATATTTTATAGTACTTAGGTTACTAAGGTTTCTGGTAACAAATAAGCAAGTTGTATCTAAATGGAAGTTGCGGGGGTGGAATGCTCAGTATTATACATATATATTATACAAAATACGGGAAAATTATAACTTTTAAGCAACACCAGTTTTTGAAAAAAAAAACAAAATATTGTCTTTTTTATTATTCGGAAAATGTACAATCTATAAGTAAAACACAATAGGTTATAGGTAAGTAAAAAATGGTAAACATAATGGTATAAACATAATAATATAAAACAACATAAAGATGAGGGAAGTCATCAAGCGATGGAACCCTCCGAGTTGTTGTAATTCAAAAATGAATAACTGTATAGACGAGTTTTCACATAATATGTTTATGGTAGCATTTTCCAAACATAATAAGTTGTTTAAAACGTTTTGGATATTTTTGAGGTAATCATAGATATTTGAAATTGCAGTTGACTGTTTTTACTTTTTTTAGTCTTTTTTTCTATATTTCATACTTTTATGTACAATACAATTTTCGGAGTAAAAATTTAAAATACTAGAAAATGTAGGTAGGTAATACTTCATTTCTCTTAACTTGGTTTTATTTTAATTTAAAAAACAGTTTATTGTGGAAATTAAATTATACATTAATTAGTTAAAATAGATTTTTCTATATTTTCTATAGTTGAATTTGAAAACCTAGGTTGGTATAATACCCGATGTCATACAATCTTAAAGCCACTCATGTATTTAAATTATTTAGTTATTGATACGTATTTTAACCATGGATCCAATACAGAAGATCAAATTACAATTTTTATTATATAATAAAGGCGGGGTTCAACTAAACTATACCCATGACAAAATATATTTTGTCATGACTATACGTAAGAGTGTACGTGGATAAAAATCCTTTACTGTGATTGGTTGGTTAGGTTAAGTTACCCCGAGGTTTATAGATATTATAATTTATTTAATAATAATTTAATATTTATTTATAATTTATAATATCTATAAACCTTGAAGTTACCCCACGATTCCGTGTTGTTGGACATAACTGAAAATTGTTCGTGTACAAGCCACTACAAGGCACACGTATATACTGTATAGTGGAAACACTCCTTAACAGATAAAAGAGTTTGTATCCATATTATGGCATAATGACATAAATTATGGCCTACAAATCACAACAATTGCAAACTTCATTATCATTTATCAAGTATCAACAAAATTTTCAAAATGTAAATAACAAACCTACTTTTTTAATTGCGTAGGTACCTAGTCTGAAACAGAATAGTTCACAAAAAATAATAAAAATTAGTAACTGTTATTTTTTTTACAATGATGACTATGGGCGCATAACAGGCTTATTAAAAAGAAACACAAATGTATTTTATGAATTGTGAACATAATCAGGACAACGATTCATTACGTCAATACAACAAATAATAATAACATTTTGCGATTAATTATAAATAGACAATAGTACTATAAGCAGTAGGTATAAGTAAAAGATAAGTCACATAATACGGGGAATGGGGATACCCCTCAGGGTCGGCTCCATCGACATGGTTAGGGGGGGGGGTCCTAATTTTCAGAAAATGTCGATGATTTTTTGTAATTTTTTTTAACGGTAATATTATTTAGAAATAAAGCTGGGGGGCTGATACCCCCGACAAATGGTGTCCACTACTCCGGTAGTCCGGTCATCTAAGGTATTTAAATGCTTACAAGCTAAACTTTGTACAATGACAAGTTATAAGTTTTTAACCACGGACTAAGATATTATACATATAATAATATATATTAGTCCGTGGTTATAACTAATGAAGTTGGTACTTTAGTATTCAATGGTTGTTATTATTTTTATTATTTTTATTCTTTTTTTTTATATATTATATATTCAAAGATTTTTAATAATCATAATCCACAGATACATAAAAAAAAATATTAATTTTTTAAAGTATACTTTTTAATAATTGCTTTTTATCCGTATCATTCGAAAATCGGTGGTTACTGGTTAAGGGGCCTCATCTTATCGCCTATCAGATTCGTGATTCGTCCTTATAGTTCATAACACGGACTTCTTACTACAACTGATACTACTATATAGAAATCTGTGGTTCATAATGATTGTATATGATAAGGATTTGTCACGTGCAATGCAAAATAATAATTATTAATTATTTATCAAGTAAGTAATAAACTAATGACTCAAAATCACAAATGTTATTTTGTAATTACTAATTAAGTATTTTTTAAAGTTAAGCAACGGTCGGACACAACGCATCCTGCATCAAACCATGAGCGATTGTGAATCGTTAGTGTCGTTTGACTCAGCTCCTAGAGTTCGGAAAAAGGGTATCGTGTACCTGTCGTCAATACCGAAGTACATGAACGTAACTAAACTGCGCGAGCTGCTGGGTCAGTACGGCGAAATAGGCAGAGTGTTTCTACAGCCGGCTTCCAATCGTAATACATGGTCATTATTATTTATGGTGTACTTTTAATAGTTTTTAATTTTCATCGACTTGTGTACCGTTTTCAGCGAACCTGAAAAAAAGACCGGCCAAACATTTCACCGAGGGTTGGATAGAATTCGAACGAAAAAAGGTCGCCAAAATGGTCGCAGAAATACTCAATGGCAAGCGAATTGATTCCCGAAAGAGTAGCAAATATTTCGACAGTGTGTGGAATTTAAAATACTTACCCAGGTAAATGATAATGTGCCAGTTTTAGTTCATCAATATCATGTGTAATTGTGTGTTGTATCAAATAAATTATCATCTTCCATATTATACTGACGATGAATTTCAGATTCAAATGGGTCCATTTAAATGAACGCTTAGCTTATGAAAAAGCTGTACGCAAACATCGTCTACGAGCCGAAGTATCACAAGTAAAAAGGGAAGCAAATCACTTCTCCTCTAATATTGTTAGAAGTGAAAAGAATAAGTTATATCAACAGTCAAATGTCAATTTTAATGTTCAACAAAGATTGCCAGAAGAAGAATTTTTACAAAACAAGAACTGTGTACCAGATATGGAATCAAGAACAGACTTTTTATCAAAGCTTTTTGATAGTTAATAATTTAATAAAGATACATAATCAATAAATGTAAATAAATCTAATTTAACATTTTAGTTCATTTTTAAAGCTAATGCAGCCAACTTATTTGCCATTAAACATTTCGGTTCTTTTTCTTTTTCTATATCTTTTTGCCTTTGAAACATTTTTCCCATTTGTGACAGCCCTAAATATGAAATATTATCTTGTAAGTCGAATACAAAGTAAAATATTATACTCTATAATTTTTGAGATAGGAAATTTTAGTTTTATCTATGTTGCACGTGGGTCTAAGAGACAGCCATGGCAAGATTAATTAGCGCTTCTGGCCATTTAACATATTTATCATTGTACATTTTTTAAGCCCCTACCCATTTTTTTGAAGTAAATATTTACTTTAAATGATTGATATTTTTCTCAGTATAAATATAATAAAATAAAATAAATACTTAAAATTTAATTTAAGAAATAAATTTACATTTTCTTTATGCTAATATATTTTTTATAAAATTAAATTTCCTCAACTGAGTGATCTGATTGCCAGGACTCATCCGGCAAGACATGCCTTCCCGTCCTACCTCGTGCCTTTGCGGCATGGTGGGAGTCGGTCATGTTGTGTCATCATTGGTGATGGTCGGTAAGGAGTAGACTGTACGCTACAGTGTACTTAGTACTTGCTGCCGTAGCGCACTGTGTTAAAAGAGTAAGTTCAATCAACAATCAAATATCACAGAATTTTTATAAAACAAAAACTGTGATAATTAATTATTTAATATACATACATAGTTCATAATTTAATATACATACATTAATTAATAGGTACATGTAAATAAATTTTATCTTACATTTTAGTTGATTTTTAGAGCTAATGCAGCCAACTTATTTGCCATTAAATATGTTTTTTCTTTTTTTTTATATCTTTTTGCCATTGGAACAATTCTCCCATTTCGTTGATGGACTTTGATATGATTTTCTAAACGACTTTTGAACGTAAACACCCAATCACATCCAATGACGCTGCATTCATATCTTCTTTCTTTATGAGACATTTGAATATGATTGTGCATATACCTAGACTCGGCAAATGTTTTACCACATCCCAACTGTGTACAAACAAATTTGGGCATATGTTGTATAACATGTTGCCTTATTTGAGCCTTAAGAATAAATTGTTCGTTACAATGATGACACACATAAGGTTCAGAGTGGTGAGTGGCTAAGTGTTGTTGATAAAACGACCAACTGAATTTGTGTTCAGACAGTGGACATGATGGCATGTCACATTTGAAACGTTCATGTCTAAGAGAATGGATTTTGAGATGATCAGCTTGGAAAAACCTTCGGCCACACGTTTCACAGCGGTGAGTTCTGTCACGTAATTTAGGTACCTTAATTTTTTCCTGATGTCTGCGGAGGCCCCATGCTGTGTTAAATGGTCGGTCACAGTGATCACAAAACAATGGTTCTTCTAATCTCGAATGATTTTGATGGGCCTCGGCAAAGTGTCTCTGCAAGTGCTGTCGGCGATGGTAACCGCGATCGCATTGGGTGCATTGGAATTGTTTAATTCCTTGATGTCGTTGAATATGAATTTGCAAACGGTATGGACGACTGAACGTAGAAGTGCAATCTTCATACGGACATGAATGTATGGCCATGGTCCAAATAATCGAATGATTGCTAACTGTTTGTGAATGTTAAATTAGGTATCACTTTGAACAAGGATCCAGTCATAGTTACAAAATAATGTTTTAGTTACCTAAATAACATTTATGTATTCAAAATGTTTTACATAATTAATATGGCTATAGATGAAATCATTATCGGTTCAACCATAGTTTAATCGAATCAATTAATAAAATAAATACCAACACTATAAAAATATTTGCTATGGCTTGGCTTAATAATATAAAATACTAATAAATATTAAGTAATAACGTATACTAAATACACAGAATATAGTATTTAATATTATTTTGATTCAAAGTACGGACCAAGACAGAAGGCACGAAAGTAAAATTTTCTAATGAAAAATATTAACAACTACCTAGAGCTTAGAGAGTCCACCACTTTATCTTCTATCTAATATAGCATCAATGGTCACTGTCTAGTCGAGTAGTTCTGTGCTTCTGTGGTAGAGTGTACTGTGTAGACAAACTATTGTTCTTTGCTACTATAATTATTAACTAATTTGTCATGGAGTAGAATAACGAGTAACAACCACGATTTAAGATAGTATAGTCACATATTCATTATTCTGTGGTATAGTTTCCCAACGAGCTATGATAAGACTTCTATGATAAGACGCTTAGACGCTATAGCACAGAATAGATTAAATCTAGATTTAATCTATTCTGTGGCTATAGGATTTAAGTCTTGATGCAATGATGCGTCGGAGCGGACTTATAAGCAAATACTATAGATTAATAGACTAATCTATAGACTATAGTATTTGTTATAAGTTATATTTAATATTATACTTATCCATGAGTGATGAGTGGACTATATTATAATATTAAATATTTTACTATCTGATCCCACGCACTTCGTTGCCCTTAAAAAATGACAACTCTTTAAAAAATTGTGATTGTCCAACTCATTTTGGGTGTTACCTCTATGGGTGTAAGGTGTAAGTGTGTAACACGCTGCAGCAAGTGCGACTCAGCCGCCCTTGTAGGCACAGGGTTGGGCATATCATAGTTACATGTAACTAAGCTATGTAACTCGGTTACTTTTGTAACATGTAACTTGTAACTAGTTACACACTTTCCTGTAACTTTATATGAAAGTTACAAGCTACACTTTTTTTTTTAGTTTCTATTATATTTAAGAATTTTAAATTTAATACAAACAGTCAATGTTTATTATGGCAATTTAAGGTACCCACTTTATTTTCATTGAGGATCCGAATACAATTACTTAAGGAACATAATTTTCGTTATGCAGCAAATCTTATTGATATTTACGGAAATCACTCGAAAAACGTTTTAAATTGTTTTATGACTTATCACCTGAAGTAAATGAAGCTATTTTGGCGTCATGTTTTCATCCAGCATTTAAACTTCGATGGATACCCGAGAATAATGATGTAGATAAGAAAAGGATTCAAAATTTGTGTATCAATACTGTTGAAAAGTTTGTTATGGAAACCAGTGTTATAGATACTTCAGCTGAAGCAGATGAAGATGATTTTTTTGTATTTTCATCTCATGAAGATCAAGACCATACAAAAGCTGATTCAAAAGAAATCATTATCAATTTTAATAATTATGTATTATGTAGCTATAAAAAAACTATTTGTAAAATTTAATACTAATCTTTGTTCTTCTGCTCCAGTAGAAAGGTTATTTTTATTTGCTGGGTTCATTCATTGTCTTACTAGAAGAAATTTATCTGACCAGAATTTTGAAAAATTATTTTTTCTTAAAGGAAATAAATCTTATTCATTATAGTTTATAATTCATGGTAAAAAATAATACATTATTACAATTCAATTTTATCTTTTTAAATTGTACCAGCTTAGTTTATAAATACCATTGACTTTATTAAAACTTAAATTACCTACTACCTTTTTGCATGTGCATGTACCTATTTTATAAGAAAACTGACTATTGTTGTGATTTATTAATTTATTATTAAGTAGATAGTATGATTAATACATTAATTATTTTATTATAACTGTAATCTGTGAAAAATATTTTACACAAGTTAATATTTATCATTAACTATTGTCTATTACAGTATTGTTATAAAAATATTTAAAATGTGTTAATTATAATAAATTAATAAATACAAACATATTTTATTTATCAATGTAACTTTTAACTTTAAATGTAACTTAGTTATATACTTATATAACTGTAACTTGTATCCAGTTACATTGCACCAAAGTATATAGTATCTTGTAAGTTGTAACTAGTTACACAGTTTTAGAGTAACTTGTAACTTGTAACCAGTAACAATAAATCAAGTAACTTGCCAAACCCTGTGTAGGCAATCCGACTATTTTAGATTCTGAGTGAAACGATGAATGTATTGATTTTACAATGATGTGTTTTTTTTTTTTTTTTTTGTGTCTGTGTACACGATAAGTAGTCGAAATAATGCTTCGATTTTCGACTTCAGTATCTTGTTCGATTGGAAAGTGAATATCGTTGGTGCATTGGGGAGGTCAAAATTTAAATTTCCCAGTAGTTTTCAAGAGCGCCGGGAAAAACAACATAAAAATTAAGGAAAAACGGGAATTTTTACGCAAAATCGGTTTTCCAAAAAATCGATTTTGGTTTTTGGTGTAACTTTAAAACAAATAACCGGTAGATACATGAAATTTTCAGTGGTTGTTTATATTTGCATCTTCTATACACGATAACATTTTCAAAATATTTTGATTTATTTTGAACTGTTTAGGGACATTTTCAGTTTCCAATTTTATTAGTTTTTTTTTTTATGAATATCAATAAAAATTTATTTGTTGAGTAAAAATACTTGAAAATTTAATACAAGGCTCCTACTATATTGTTTCAAAGACAGATGAAAAATATTAAAAATCGTTAGTCACAGTTTTTTTTTTTAAGCATTTAAAGTTCAAAAAATGACAAAATATGGAAAAACCACGAAAATTTGCAAATTATTTCGAGTTAGAAATTCATAAAAATTTTTCTTTTTAAATCTAAGATATGAAAATGTAATACAAGATTCCTTATAAGATTTCCTACATTTATCAAAAAAAAAAATTCTATAAGAAAGTCAAATTAAATTTTTATGAGCGTTTGAAATTCAAATTTTTACAACATTGGATATTCACTCGATTTCTCATGTGGCGATTTCCTTATTTTGTTGTAATTCAAAAACGAATTACTGTAGATACATGAAAATTTCACTGAATGTTTATATTAGCATTTCCTATACACCATACAATTTTGAAAATATTTTGACTCTTTTTGAGCCGTTTATGGACATTTTCAGTTTTCAATTTTTTTAGTTTTTTTTTTCTATAAATATCAATAAAGTTTTATCTGTTGGGCCAAAAAGTGTAAAAATAATACAAGGCTCCTGATATATTGTTACAATAGCAATTGAAAAATATTAAAAATACAGAGGCACAATTTTTTTTTATAAGCATTTAAAGATCGCATTTTGACAAAATTTATCAAAATCTCGAAAATTATCAATCATCGTAATTAATAAATTATAAAATGTTCAGTTTTTATAGCTAAGGATTGCAAATTTAATAAAAAGATTCTCATAAATAGTTCATACTGTAGCCAAAAAATCTAAAAAATATATGAACACAGTTATTTTTTACAGACATTTTAAGTTCAAATTTGGGACGAAATTACATATTAAAAAACCTAGCATACCTATTTTCGTTATTTTGTTGTGAGTGTATAATACTATTCGTGGGTACTTGAAACTTCTAAAGTACACTATATTATATAATATCTATGATAGTATCATGGTTTGTTATTGATGTATAACGTGTTATAAGTACCTAATGGATAATGTGATATGATTAATTTGGAATTTATTATAGGTCAATTTTTTTTTTAATACCATAGATATGTATATAATTGTCTTAAACCTAGACTGACATACCGTCTTCGCTCAGAATCGTTTTTCTTATACAATGATATTGTATCATTGAATTCAAATTTAATAGCATCCATTATACAGACATACAGTGACCCACTTGTAACCTACTGTACAGCTGAGCCACATCCACTTATTTTTATATTATTATTAGTAAGTTATCTTAGGTTCAAATTTAAAGGTACGTTTTCCCTGCAATGTCTAGCATCAAGTATCAACTACCGGATCGGTTATGTCCATGTATAGCGTGATGTAAATTGTCATTAAGTTTATAATTTTTTATCAAATAAATCCCTTGATATTATATAGTTCTGTTCGACTTTATTAGTATATTTAAGTATTTAACCTACGTAATTATATTTAAAACTGTGTAGGTACTTATATAACCCATTTTAATATTATACATACTAATATAGAAAATATATGTCTATATGTCTCCTACGAAGAATACAAGATGTATCGGAGCAAATGATTGGAGACTACCAGTGTGGATTTAGGAAGGGGAAGTCAACGATAGATCACATATTCATATTACGACAAATACTAAGTAAACATTACGAATATAATAAAAATATCCATCTAGTATTTGTAGACTTCAAGCAAGCATACGATAGTATAATTCGGAATAAACTATGGAAAAACCTAACAACTCTAGGTATTCCAAATAAAATAGTTAACTTAATAAAATTATGCAACAGTAACACAAAATGTGTGGTTCGGGTACAAGGAGAGCTATCAGACCCTTTTGAAGTTGGTAAAGGACTAAGACAGGGTGATGCACTATCACCTGTATTATTTAACTTAGCGTTAGAAAGTGTGTTAAGGAGAATGCCACGACGACAGATAATGGAATTAAATGAGAACCATACCCTACTGGCTACTAGCATATGCGGATGATATAATAATTTTAGGTGATACGAAGCAAGATACCGTAAACAGTATGTCAGATCTAATGAAAGTATGCAAACATATAGGGCTGTCTATAAGCCAGGAGAAGACCAAATATATGTTCATGACAAGAGAAGCACGAGATAATGGAGATGATTCAGACTTGGAAGTCGATGGGATATCATTTCAACAAGTACATGACTTCAAATATCTCGGGGTCAACATAAATAATAGAAACTGTATGCATAATGAAATAAAACTCCGTTTAAAAGCTGGGAAAGGATGTTACTTTGCTATGTCACATCTGTTTAAGTCAAAACTATTATCTAGGAAAAATAAAGAGAAGCTATATACTACGTACCTCAGACCAGTTGTGACTTATGCATGCTGTACTTGGGCTACAACAGCAGGAGATGAGAATAAACTTAATATATTTGAAAGGAAGGTGTTAAGAAAAATCTATGGTCCCGTATATAATCCTGATACCCAAGTGTGGGAGAGAAGGTCAAACGAACAAATACAACAATTATATGGAAAAGGAAATATAGTACAATTTGTAAAAGGCACTAGAATGGAGTGGGCTGGTCACGTTTGGAGAGCGGATAATAGTATTGTCAAGAAGGTAATTGTAAACAACTTAAACAGGAAAAGACCTCGCGGCAGACCGAAGCAGCGTTGGATAGATGCAGTCAAAAGAGATATCCAGGAGTTAAGACCAGATTGGCATGGAGACCTAATGTATGCATATAATAGAGAAGAGTGGAAGAATTTGATATTGGCAGCAAAGGGCCTAAATGGCCTATAATGCTAAAAAAAAAAAAAAAAAAAATATAGAAAATCCAAAATCCAAGTAAATTTATCTATTTAGTAAATATGCATTTTTATCTATTATAAAAATTGTATTTTATACTTCAGTTTAAAGTATAATAATATAATATATATATATATAAAAACTTGTCCTGAGTGATGCATCACCGCCTAGCCGGAACCACTGAAGCTATATCTATATGAGTATGTAATTTGGAGGATAGTAGTTTTGTTTTGTGATGTAGACACCCACAAAGAAAGGATTTTTTAAAATTCAACCCCAGGAGGGATTAAAAGTGGTAAAAATGGAAAAAAATTGATTGTCTTACTGATTCATCATTCACCTAGCCAGAATGGATCTGGCTGAAATTTGGTATACAGACATTTGGCTATTATGAGAGTAGATAAGAAAATATTTTTGGAAATTCAACCCCTAAAAGGAAAAATAAGGGGTTGTAAGCAATAAGCATACAACAGTGGCGCCATATTCTATCAAGCAATATCTAATTTAAATATACTTTAATTTTAAAATACAAAACGTTCGAACATGATATTTGGAATAATGGCATAGGGGCAACTAGGGTTAATATTCTGGAGGGGGCTAACAAAACTATTTATTTAAAATAACCCATTGGGAGCTTATATCTAAATAAATAAGGGATATTTGTGGGGAGGGGCTAAATCACAGTCGGTGGTGTAGCCAGGATTTTTTTCTGGGGGAGCGGGCTGATCAACTTTTATATTTTTACACATTAAACAGGTACTAGCACAGATAGATAGCTGAAAAGTGTTAATACTTATAATTAAAATCTAATAATATATAGATTTTGAGTGGAGCGAATATCATCCATTCAGTGATAGTATAAATGTAGTGAAACGCAAATGGCTTCCATCAATTTATTGTTTGTTGGTTAGTTGGTTCCCAAATGGCTCCAGTCGTAAAAGGTTTCACGAATACGTAATTTCCAAAACAGCTTCATTATTCAACAACAATTTTTTATAGTTTACTTTGCATATAACATTTTAAAGACACTATATTTTAACCATACCTATTTAGAGACAGTCCTAAATATACATGAATTGGGAAGGAATTTGTGTAGTCGAAAATGGGGGCCAAATGGGCTGTAATCCAAAAATGTTGTTATCATCTATCAATTTTGTAATAGGTAGCCTTAACGTGATTTTACTCTAATAAGGTTACTCAAAAATTATTTAAAAAAAAATGATTTTACATGAATGTGTTGTATCTATGTTGCACATGGGTCTGAGAAAACAAATATTGATCTGACGGTCTTAATATTTTAGCACTTTTCTGTTTTCATGGTTCTTGAACAGTTGAACGAAGAAGTTTTTGAAGAACCGCAGTTTTTAACTGAATTTAGCATCACTCCGTGTAAGATGTAATTATATAGATTGTTTACAATATTGTAAAAAATATGGTAGAAACTATAAAGTAGTAGTAAATTGTCTATAAAACCTAACAAGACTTAAACATTTTCTTTTTGTTTGCAGGAATTATACCATTCCAAGGGGGAATAAGTTGAATTAGAATAAGAATAATTATTTTGTATATTTTTACTATAGTAAATACACTTTAGTATTGCTTGAAACATATTACCTAAATAGTTGTCTACAAATAAATAGTGGCTTGGGAAGCCTTTCCCCCTCAAGTGTAGGTGCTTAACTTATAATTGAGGCGCTGAGCACAAAAGTGGACCATTTGACTCAATCATCATTCCGAGTAAATTAGCTTTAATGATTTTACTATTTTTGTATCACTGAGAACAATTTTGATTTTTTTTTTTTTGGTAGGTTGGGAGGTTCTTGTTGAAATCCACTGTAGATTACATCAACGTTTTTGAAACCAAAAAAAGTCAAAATTCCCTAAGTTAATGTTGGATAGGTCACTTTTGCATTTTTTTCATAACCACTTCATAATTATAAAATGTGGTTTAGGTCAAATTTGTATAAAAGAATCAACCATGTCATGTCAACAAAACTCTTTTAATCAACTTTATATACAATTTTAAAATAACAATAATTATATTGAAATTCAGACTTCTGAAATAAATAGGCCAATGTTGCATTATAATAAAAAAAAAAATGACTGGATGCAACAACAGAATAGTGCTGCTCTCTACGAGAAAAAAAAGATATTATATAGGAAGGTTTTGCTTTAATATTAATTACACGATTTTGAACTACTTGGTACAGTTACTTCAATTTTTAATTTTTTGTGGTTTACGCCACTTTAGCGATCAGCGCCTCAATTAATGTCTGAAATTTAGAAAATAAAGACAATAATATCTGATTTACACATTTAATACACCAATTTAACTAAATTATATAAATAATAGAATTATTAGTTAAACCTACATGGTTTTTTTTTATCTCTTCTGTTTAAATAATATTCAATATTTAGATCCAAGATATATAATATCTTGTAAAACTATAATAACTATAACTTTACTCTTTAACGGGACTTAAACTTTGGGACTGTGTGTTTAAACTTTAAATAAATAAATCTAATAAGACATTTAGTGACTAAAATGTTGATTGTTTTAAAATACAGAATACCATGTATAAATATTACAATATTCCCACATTAGTTTAAAAATTGAGAACAGTTTATGGTTTACAATTATAGTTTTTAATCAAAGTAAAAATGTCTAATAAATATAATTTAAAATAGATAAATAGTAAATACTAAATATAATTAAAATATACAATTAACGACGACATACTCTCATAGAATTTATAAGGCTGACTGGTTGTAATGTGGCAGGATTTATTTTATTAATTTCCATATTTTCTTTAAGTTTGAACACGCTTGCTGTCTGTTTACAAATCTATAAAATAAAATATAATTAAAATATACTATTTTATCCATTTAATGTAAGACACTGATTTTTTCAGAAAACAAATGCTTTTGAAAATACTACATTTACATAATTTAAAGTCGTGAACTAAATAATATTTTTACTGTCAGTTGTATAAGAAGGTTTTTATACTCTTTTGAATTAAAATATACATTTTTAATTTCATATTCCAGATCATAATATTATGATATTGTCATAGTATTATGATCTATAAAAATTTAATTTCAAACCAATTCATTATAATTTATAAGTATTTAAAGTTTAACTTGGGTATCCCTGTCTCTGCACAGTCCGTTTTTTATAAACTGGACTGAACCGATAAAATAGTTAAAATAACATATTATTACCTATGTTATTTATTTTACCAAGCAATATAAATATGTAAAATTATAATATTGAATTGACGTTTAAAATTAGAAGTAAAAACAGTAAGATCACTGGATCAGAATAATTTTTTTTTTAGACGTAGGGACTGAACCACATAAAATTACTTTTTACAAAGACTGGACCAGTCTAGACCAGACCGTGTAGAATTATATAGCCTGTAAGAATGTCACGCTCCACTTACATTCGTTTAAGTTTTAGTATTAAATGAATAAACTACTTGTTATATTAAAATTAAATTGTAATATATCTAAGTAGGTACTCTAAAAATCATTTGACTTTAGAATATGGAACTAAAAATGAAAATTATCATAAAAAAGTTAACAATCTAAAAATAATGATAAAAAATAGTAAATAATAAATTATTTTAATATAAAGATATTACTGAATGACTTAAAACTATAGAAAAAAATATTTTTAAAATTATTAATAATTTTTGAAATAATGAGTGTCTTAATAATATGTTAGGATTTAGAAACATCCAGCAAACTCACACGTTGTATAAGACTTTCAGAAACTTTAGCTTGAGATTTAGACACTTGGTGCAATTCTTGAAATTTCTCTTGACAGGCAGAACACGAAGTAACATCTTCTATAGTTGTGTCATAATAACCTAAACAGTTGTCATAGATAATTGAATCAACACCAATACATTCATTAATGCAATTTATCTTATTTAAAAGATTTTGTAATTCATTTTTTGATCTGATGCTCTTATTATATTTGTACTTTTTTCCTTTTATTTGTATTTTTGGCAAAAGGCTATTATCAAAACTAATGTTTTTTATATTCTCAGAAAAATGGTCTCCTTCATAAAAAACAGTTGAATTTCGAGATCTATCATATACTTTCTTCCAAAGTAGAGTAGGAAGTACAACACTTTTAGAAATTTCGTGAATGAATCCGTTATCTTTCTCTATAAAATCTTCAGTATCGTCTTCAGTATCGTCATCATCAATTACTATATATGGAATAGAATCATGGGTATCTTCAGTATCGTCATCATCAATTACTATATATGGAATAGAATCATGGGTATCTGACTGTACGGCTAATGAAACACATTTTGAAATTACTGGCATCTTTATTTCAACAGTATTAGAAGACAATTTATCTGGCATTTTTAAGGTTGAAGTAGCTTTCTGTTTATACTGTAAACTTTGTTGTGATATATTAGGGGGATAACTACTTGAAGTGGATGGAAGACAATGGGGTAAGATAATAGACGGGCTACTATTATTTGTGGTCGATGAGAGGTTATGTTTTGGTCGTAATGTAATGGACAAAGAACTTTTAGGAGACACTTTTGACAATAAATCTACTGATGGTTCTGTTATTTTAGAATTTTCAATTGGTGCCAAGGTAATGGACAACGAACTATTAGCTGAAATGTTTTTTAGTTTTTTTAATGATATCGATAAAGAATCATCAATTGAAGATAATGGAAGTAAATCATCATCTTCAACTAGTTCCGTTCCTAAAGCTGGTAGTAGCTGTTCTGGTTCTCTTTCCAAATTTGTTTGTAAACCATCATTATCAAGGGGCTCAATTTTCAAAATCGACAAATCAACCGAGTTTACAGTATTTGATTTTAATGTTGGATCTAAATCAGGAGTTGTATTGTGTTCATGTGTGTCATTTGTAACCGCAGTAAACTCTTTATTTTTATTTTTTGACGGAAACATTCTATCGGCAGTGGATAATGATTTATCTATAAACATAGAAATATAATAAATAAATGCACAAACAAATTATTATTCATTTAAAAAAATAAACAGATTTTGGATAATTGATCACATACATATCAACTAATTTTGGTAAGAATATTTTACATACCTAAAACATTGTTTTTTATTGTTTTTGTACCCAACAGTTCATCAGATTTATGTCTTTTGAGTTTAACATCATATGTCCTCAATACAGGCACATCATTAGTTTCTAATTGTTGTATGAATGGTGTAGCATTAGATGCTGATAGCCCATCATCATTCACTGGCAATGGCAAAGAAAAAGGCATTAATGATTTGAACATTCGATGAACACCATCGTGGCCACGTAATGAGGGTTGAACCAAGTCTTGGGGTTTGAAATGCCTTTCACACAGAATACTGTTAACAGTCAAATCGAAACCTAAAATTGAACCCCACATATTTAACATTTCCTGAAAATAAGCAATAAAAACAACAATGAACGGACATCAATGATTATTTTAAAACAATATTTATGAATGATCATAAAAATTACTTTTCTTGGTGAGAAAAGGGAAATATCTTCAATTTCCATAGTATTGGGATCATTAGTAATGCATCCAGGTATAGAACATGATAGATGAGCTGTATGGTCTGAGATCGCCATTACAGTAACTGGCACAGCAAAAGGTGCTAATGACTTTAAACCATTTGACGATAAGACTATGTCCTCAGGTCTGAAATGCTTTTCACACACAACGCTGTTTATAGTAAAATTCATACGTACACTTGAACTCCACTCAGTTACATCTTCCTCCTATAAAATAAGCATTAAAAACAACAATGAACGCACATCAATAATTAATTTAAAATAATATTTATGAATGGTTATAAAAATTACATTTTGTGGTGAGAAAAAGGTAATATCTTCAACTTTTTCGAAAATATTAGTAGTACATCCAGGCATAGTACAATAGGTTCTCGATTCAGGCATAGCATTCATTACTCGTACTGGCAAAGCAAGAGGTTTTAATGTACCTAATTTTCTATCTTCATCATTTATCAATAAACTGGGACGAATTATGTCCTCGGGTTTGAAATGCCTTTCACACACAATACTGTTTATAGTCAAATCCAAACCTAAAGCTGAACTCCACGGATTTACCAATTCCTAAAAAACAAGCAATAAAAACTACAATGAGCAAACATCAAAAATTATTTTAAAACAATATTTATGAATGGTTAAAAAAATTACTTTTGTTGGTGCGAAAAGGGAAATATCTTCAACCTCGTCAATAGTATTTGTTATGCAACCAGGTATAGAACAGTTACCAGTAAAATCCTAAATTAATAAAACCAAATAAATTACTTTTATGTTTGTATAAAATATATAATGTAATACTAAAATAAATTCTAATCCGACCTTAATAGTGTACAGACTTATAGCTAGCGATTTTATGACCAGTATTTATCTTCTATACGATAGTGTTTAACTATACAATATTAAGTGCTTGAGTTATTTTTGATTCTATATAATATGCCGTAGAATAAATCCAATAAATTCGGAAATAATTTAAATTAAGAAATCATTATCTTTCTTATTTAACAAATTTAATGAAACAGCTGATAAAATCAAAAATTATGAAGAAAACTAAATACGCTTGGGATTGACCATAATGAACTTTGTCGTCAAAATATTGATCTTGTTTTATGTATTGAAAAAATGTAATTAAATGTTAATGATAATAATCAATTTTTATTGAGAAATAATATTAAAATTCAAGGTATTCCTACTACTAATAACAAAAATGTATTCAATATACTTTAAAACATTGTAAAATCATTGAATATTGAATTTTTAAAACAAAATATTTCATTAGGTTTCCGTAGACCCAACAAAATGGGATCGTATCCAAGTATAATTGTACAATTTAATGATTTTATAGAAAAACAAAAATGGATAATCTACAGTAAAAACATCTATATCAATGAATCCCTAACTGCTGTTAATAGGAAACATTTCTTTGAAACCAGAACGTTTGTTAAATCCTCAAAACATTACATATTTGAGTGGTATACCCAAGGAAAAATGTTTGTTAAGCAAGATGAAAGTAGTAACTTTTAATTCTAATGATTTAAAAAAATTAATGAACAACTAGTAAAAAAAATAGTACTTAAAAATTGTATATAAGTTATTAATTAACCTTTAAATAAATATGGTCTCTGATTTTAATTCCGTTACAAATCTTATTCCTTCCTCAGAAATCAAAAATATTTATGAAATCAATATTTACAACAAAAAGTTATCAGTGTTTTTTTACGAATATATTAGAAGTTTAAAACATAATTTTGATATCTTTGTATGCTTTTAAATACTAAATTTTATCTATTTTATTTGATATTATTATACAATGTGAAATCAGGCTTGTCGATGATATTAATCTATGTATTGATAATTATTAAACAATACATTTATTATTAGGTTTTAATAAATAATAAAAATCATAAATCAGACTGTGTTAGTTCTTGTAATACATTTGACATAACTTGCACAGAAACAAGTATAAAAAACCCTATTATTGTAAAACCATTCATACCTCTCTTTAGAATCTAAAAAGTAAAAACTAACAATATCTAATGCACATCAGGTTCAGGGGCGTATACAGGGGTTAATGTGAGGATCAGATCCCCCTAGGACTTTTAATTTTTTTTTATAAAATAGCGTTCTTAGTGTTAGGGCGTTACAAGGAAACATAAAAAAATGGCTAGGATTTTGTGCATTTTTATTTCGTCACATCCAACAGACAACAGCACACTATTAAGCTAATGACTAGGTAATCGGTATTCAGTCGTCAATAATCATACATCGTTGCAGATAAAAACGCTGCGGCAACACCTGTGTGTCCGTGTGGCTAATAATAAATTAGAAAAAGTTTTAAGAAATAATAATACAATCCGCGGATGGGTTTTATTAATTTATTATGCAGTGGCGCCCAAGATATACTTTTCAGGTGTAGCAAGAAATAATTTTACCCCCACGCACCCACCCCCTCAAAAACTCAAAATTATATTATTTTATCATATTTTAATTGATAATATTATTAAAAATGTAGGTATCAACCAATATAATCTGTGATTAATAATGAACATATTATTTCAAGTTAATTATTTTATGTTATTATACCCACCCACCCCTTATTTTCAAGGTGTAGCAACAGCTACACCTAGTAATAGGGTTGGACGCCACTGGTTTCACGCATTTATACTAAAATATTATCAATTTTGTATTAACACGGACAATGGCCATATCTATTAAATAAATTCCAATCGGCATTTAGTGCTGACAAAGTAATAGATGAATTGACTAAATAGTAAATAATAATGAAATTAAATTTTGTACTATAATTGTACGTGGTTTTAAAATGAAATGTATTAAATACATAATATTATGTTCTGTTATTTAATATTTTAATGTGCAAGTACCTAGGTAATAGGTATATCGTACTCATTAGTTTTTCTTAATTTTAAATAAAAACAAAATATTTTGGATAACATAAATTATTTTTTGTTGCAAGGATAACAAGAAAAAAGACAACTAGGGATGACTGCTTAAAATAAGTAACTCAAGATAGAGAGAAATGGAAGGAAGTTTGTTTCGTAGCTATGGACCTCCCTGGCCTTGAAAGTTGATAAAAGAAAAGAAGAAAATAAAAATGTATTATACTTATACCTAGTTAAATATAATATATTATACTTTAAACCTTAGCATAACGAATAGTTGAGTCAATATAAACCAATAACGGAGTTTCGGTATTATTCATCTTTGCAACATAATTTGTAGACGAACAAGATGGTTTATTTGCACGAATAACCCCATTCTTGACAGGTGATCGTTTATTGGAACGACAAGTCCCACTTTTTATAGGCGATGGTTTATTTACACGATTAAAACCGCTATTGACAGCCGAACTTGTTGATGGAATATTTCTTGCATCTATTACATCTGTTAAAATTATAAATCATATTTTAGAAATTGAACTATTTATTTTCATTAGGTATAAACCAGGCATGAGGCGGCTAAGGACCCAAAATAATTACGCTTATGGATTTAATAAAAGAAACTGAAAAATAAAGAAGTAATCCGTTTTTATTATTATTTTAGGTATAAAGGGTATACAGGGTGTTGCACGATAAATGTGTCAAACTTCTAGAGGTGTTTCTACACCTCAAATGGAACAAAAAAAGTCCTTGTGACTAAAATCATCAATAATAAGGGTGATAATTTCCATTATTATGAATCAAAATTGCGTTCAACAAAAAAAACACAAAAATGGAAATTATCAATAATTAGATTATGGTCACAAGGACTTTGTTTGTTCCATTTGAGGTGTAGAAACACCTCTAGAAGTTTGACACATTTATTGTGCAACACCCTGTATATTATTATAATCATTTATAGTGATTTTTTAATCATGCTCACCCCATTTTTTTTTTAGCACGTTTATAAAGACCATATTTTAGAATTCCTGATATTTTTTATCTTCTTATGGAGTGTCCTGTGGTGGTATATTGTTTATTTTTATTTTTAAAATAAAAAGTTTAAAGATTATTATATTTCATAACAAAGTAAAACCTTGTACCTACCTACCTAACCATATTAATAGTAGGTATGCTAATTAATAATTAAAAAGGTTAATACAAAATAAATTATCAAATTATTAATTTGTTTCTTACCGTTATCTAAAAATAATGAAGGAATAGCATCAGATCTTAATCTATTTTTTCTTTTAGTATTGAAGCAATCCTCTTCAAAATGAGCACGACATACTCTTAAGTTACTTTTTAATTTTTCAGTAGGATCAACTTGTAATCCGCATAATTCAATCCATTTTTTTCTGAGTGTGAAATTTCTAGGGTAACCAAAGAAACTAAGATCCTTTGAATAGCGGTTCAAACAATTTTTCACAGAACAGCGAGGTCCATTTCCCAAAGTGTGGTCCTTTAAAATTTAAACAAATGATTCATTGAAAAAAAATTTGATTAATAGAAACAGCTAGTTATTGACAATTTTAAAGTACAAATTAAAATATAATATGAGGTAAATAAATATTTTAGTGATATAAGTAGGTATTTACAAATTGTATGTCCATATTTATTCGTATATTATGATACAATTAAATATTAACAGCCTTGGACGTTAATAGTTGGCTATTTTGATTTTATATGATTCTATATTTTACAAAATTTAGGTTTATAGTATCATTATACAGGACCTACACATTAAAGTATACCAATAATGAGGAATAAAATTCTCCTTGTTAATGTAAAATAGAAAATTAATAACTGTTACTAATAAATGAGAATAATTATGTAATATTATTGTAATCATTAATTACTAACAAATATTTACAGCTACAGTTTTATTTAAAAATAGTTTATACATATAATACATATATATTATATATTTAAATATAGTACATAGGTACCTTAATAAAACTCCTAAAATAATACCGCTGATAAGGTTCCATTCTAGTGGAGAAATGGAACTTCAGGAAAGAAGATTCTCTTTCATTCACAAAGGACCATTTTTTTTTCTCGTGTCAGGCACATCATTATGTAGGTACAATCGGACAATCCTCAAATAATAACCAACAAAGTATACATATAAAGTGAAACCATAAGTATAAATATAAAAGGCAAACAAATAGATAAAATAAATAAACATAAATATGGTACATGGAAAAAACCTCTACGTGGTGTACCCGAGGCAACATTTTTAACGGCTAATTTTTCCAAACACAGGCACGCAGACTTGTCTATGTATGTATCCTCTTATGCCTTTCATAGTATAGTATATTACTTAAACAAAGGACCTTGACACTATATAGTTCGCGACACAAAAACTTCTGTGGGTTCTTAAACTAATATTTAGAGTATTCCAAAAAGAGAACACACTTAGCTGGCCAAACTACTGTGAAGAACTATTTGATAAATATAAGTGGATGAGAATATTACTGTTGCCTTATTAGAAGCACTAAATTACTAAAGAAGAGAAACCAGGAAGTTGAAGACCAGCCAATACACATTCAAACAGAAAAGCATGGTAAATATTAAAAATATATGGATATCAGACTAAAAATAAATAAATGTGATAAACAAAACAATAGCAAATCTATAAAAAAATTTTCCTTGCTTTTCCGACATTTTTTTCACTTAGATTCTCGTAGCATAGTGCCATAGAGGCAGTGTTGCCAGACGTACGAGAATTCTCGTATTCGTACGAGAATTGAACACAAGCGTACAAGGTATGAGGACACCCTATTATCGTACGCCAAATATACGAGAATTCAATCATATTTTATATACCTAATTATTTAACAAAAAAAAAAAAAAAAAAAAGGTTATTGATTTTGAACAGTTATACCTGGGGTTATACCTAACTTATAATAATAGATTAATATATATATAAAATAAGATTGTATCGTATATAAAAATAGTCTTATCTATCTTGGTGAAAACATATTTTATATTATGTATAGAACGATCTGTGATGATATGTAATTGTGTTTATAACACGGTTGGAGTTAATATACGCGGTTTATAATAATAATAAAAACTACACGGTTTGAAACTCCAAGTCACGAACTAAGGTCTAAGATAGTAATTTACATTGATAACAATATCAAAATCAGAAATGCGTTATTTTGTAATAATTCTGAATTCGTTATGTAGTATGTAATATTTCAATATAAACTTAAAGTTATTTATTATTTATAAATTGTTTTATTTGTTGTTGTTTTTTTTTTAATATTTAAACATGCACGAGACTAGTGAAAGTGAAGATGATCATGCAGGTACTTCAAAGACAAAAAAAAGAAAGCAAACTCATAGAGCTCAAAAATTTAGAGACGAATGGTTAAATTTATCAGATTTAAAACCATGATTACTTCCAGTAGAAACTGATGCTTTTAAAGCTAAATGCAAAGTGTGTAATATTATAATAGTTGGTGAATTGACAAACATTAAAATGCATGGTAAAGGTATAAAGCATTTGCAAAATTGCAAACAGTTGAAAAAACCTATATCAACATTTTTCAAAACAGCACCAACCAATTTGAATACTGATGTTTCTAAAGCAGAAATAAAACTGTCTGGATTTATAGCAGAACACAATGTTTCATTTATGGCAATGGATCATTTATCTGATCTACTTGAAGAAACTATAAATGGTACTATACTGACAAAAGAGTGCATAGAGAAATATAGAGTGAAATATCTCAAACAAAAAATTGTGTTAACTTTTTCCTAGTAAGTTAATGATTAGTAGAATGACTAGTAATGCATTATATCCTAAAAAAGAAATCTCATTAGAAAATATTTCTGCTGATATATTTTATTCAGCTGATGAATAAAATTGTTTCAACTACTGGTAAATATATATTTTTATTTCTAATTTAAAAGTATTAGGTTTGTGCAATTTATTAACTATGCCTACCATACAGAATAAATAAGTTGTTAAATTGTTTTTTTATAATTTTAGATTGTTTTGTTTGCATTGTTAAATATTATGTTTATTAAAGCAGTGATTTCGATTCTTATATTTTGTTCATGTTCTTTAATAAACCTTTTGAAACTGAAGTGTATTAAAATAAATTTATATAATTATGATAATATCATAGAACAACTCAACAATAATAATATGATAATATGCAGTTCTTGTTATTCAGCATAGATAATAAATGAATATTATGAATGATTATGTATGAATGAGTATAGATATAATAAATCAAGAAATGAGTAGTATGATAATGGCGAGCGAAGCGAGCATTTTTTTTTTTTAGTGTACGAGGATTGAAGTTCAAATACGAGAATTTTGGGAAGATTGATACGAGATTTTAGCCATAGGTATCTGGCAACACTGCATAGAGGTAAACGTGGGGGGGCATGTGGTAAATTTGCCGACTTAAATGAAATTACATTACTTGTTCCTTCAAAAATTTTTATTTAAATTAAACATTTAAATCTTTTTTAACACAAATAAAAACACATTTTTTAAATTTTTTCAACACAATGTTCAGTGTTCTAAATTCTAATGTAAGAATTCAGTACGTATACAATATATACAGGGTGTCCCGTGAGGATTTACCTATTAGCCGTAGAGGGGGACTCGCCGCCCGGACAAAAACCGGTTTTTTGCCGTTTTACTTATTAATTAAAAAAATTATTAAAAATCAGGAAATTAATGAAATTAAAATGTTGAAACGTCAATATTTTCAGAAAAATGAACCCTACAAAATGGCAATCTTCAATATTTTTTAAATAATTAATTAAAAAAAATAATTTTTTTAACTTTTTTACTAAAACATAAAAAAAAAATAAAAAATTAGTTATTTGTAGTGCTTACCTCTGTGAGTCTTAATAAGAAAACAGAATTACGATATCTCTATTATTTCAGGAGATATCGCAATGAGTAAATCCTCACGGGACACCCTGTATGTATAATATTGAATAACTACTTGTATCATTTAAACATTAAAATATTTAAAAAATTTGAATACCATTTTAAATGTATAATACCAAAGGTTAGGTTAGGTATACATATAGGTACCATACAATTATGAAGGTAATTTATGACAATTATATGTAAATATAAAACTTATTTAAAAATAAAACAAAATTTATTAAATTACTGAAATATTTCAAAATTTTAAATTTCATGAAATTTTCAAACACTAGTTATAATAGACTTATTATACTACAAATATCCAATCATCTCACCTATATGACTATAATAATATAGTCATTTATGTCATAAATCATAATTAATTTTTATTACATTTTATTTTTAAACCGAACTATTTTCTTTCTGCTAATAAAGTGATAACATTTATTCCTGGAATGTTTAGTAATATGTGTACTTGCATGTGTTGTCTCCGTCTTACAAATGTACAACATAGCAAAAACTGTTTTGCGCGGGACAACTTTTCTCTCACTATATTTGTTGTAGAATTACCAAATTTTCACAACACGTAAAAAATAACTTTATCTGTGCAACAGCGCGCTATTTTTTTTTAAGAACAGTCCAATCAATTTTTATAAATTATAAGCAAATGACAAAATAACAGAACAACCAAATGTTTAGAACCAAATAACTTTTGTTGTATTTATGTTATTTAAAACATAAGCACGCTGTTGCATAGATAATTTTCTACCCTATATGTTCAAAAATTTTGGAGCCACTACTACAAACAGAGAAAGATAAAAGTTGTCCCGCGCAAAACAGTTTTTGCTATGTTGTACATTTGTAAGTCAGAGACAACACATGCGGGTGTGACGTTCTCTATTATCGGAATCAATAATAAATATAATTGATTTTTAATTTTTAATTTTTCTGAGATATCCTATCGGTTTGTTTTTGTAATACATTCAAAACTTTTATTTTAATAACGTGGAAAATAATGCGTTAGTGCGTTACTTCATAGAAATTACTTTTTAAAAGTAATTATGTTACAATTGAGTTACTTTAAGTAAAATGTAATGAAATTACTGCTGTGTTACTAAAAAAGTAATTGTGTTATAGTAATTTGTAATTTGAGTTACATTACTACCCAACACTGGAGAAGGATTCATGCTGCAAAAAAGTGTTGAACCTGTGTTGGACTTCATACATGAAGAATCTAGATTCCATACATGCCTTAAAAGATATAATATCTGATATCATAAGATATAATATAAGATCTAATATCTGCCCATGATACCAAGGACTAGTTTTAAAATTATGAAGTCGTTTAATGCAGAAAATTAGTAAATCTTATTAAAAATATGTCAATAAGCAGGAAATTTACAGTTTCTCAAGATTCTCAAGTTTCTCAACATTAAATGATAGCCACAAGGTTCGATACCAGCTACATTACTATTCAACCTTTATGTAAATAATATGCCGGAAACTAAATCACAAAAATGTCAGTTCTCAGATGAGCCAGCTAGCTTACAAATATAAGGATAATATTTACATAAATGTTCGGACCACAGTTTTTAATTTTAATAATGATTGGAAAAAGCCCATATATTTAAGTTTTCAAGTTCACTATAATTTAAGATTTAACTTTTACAAAGAGTTTCTTACAATCTATAGACAATTTTCTGACAAGTTCAAATATTTTTTAGAACCAAAATCGGACATCGTAAACTAACATTAATTTTGTCTAAACTTAAAATTTTTTAAACTATAGTTGACAGTAGTAGCAAGGCACATTCATTATATTTTTACTTTGCAATAGAATAACTTTAAAGGTATTGGCATCCTTAAGTGGCTAATACTCTACTGAATGTAGAGGTAAAAATTGTAATAATGATATTAAAAGCAGAATTATACTCTGTTCTAAATAAGAGAGTACCGGGTGGCTACCTGTTTCTGTCAAGTGGCAGGCATCCCCGACATAGAGGTATAGGTAGTGACGAATGAAAGGGGAAAAAAGTGGCCAGAACCGGTGCACTCTTATTTGGATAATAACAGAGTATAGCGCTTTATTGCTTAAGACATGAAGACCTATAGCTGTTAAGTATAGGTAATTACTAATTAATGTCAATCAAATATGGTAATACTTTATAATAACAAACATTTTTATTTGGACACCTACAAGATTTTATTTCTAATTATTTCAATGTGCTTGTCTTTGTCCATATTGAATAAAAAAGTTGCAAAAATACTACCTACAGTAAAAAATTACGTTAGCATTTAATGTAAGTGATCAAATTTTAAAAATATTATCACTCTCTTTGAGCTATTTATAGCAATTATGATTTTTATACATTTTTTTTTTAATTAGTCAATAATTTTTTTTGCTGGTCAAAAAACTTTAAAATTTAATACAAGGTTCCTCATAAGTTATTAACATAGCAACTAAAAAATATTAATGTTATGTTATCCTATTTTTTTTTTAGAAGCTTTCAAAATTTGTCAAACTTCATCAAAATCACAAAAATGTGCAAATGATTGTATTTATTATAAAATGTATTTTTATAGCTTAAGATTTCTCATGAGTAATTTAAAAAAAACCCAAAAACATAAAATTCATATGAACTCTTATTATTATTGAATTCTGTTGAGCATACATTTGATATAAGAGTACTAAGTTTACTGTAGATATTATTATTAAAGTTGAGAGGATGCCAACACAATATTTGTTTTCTTTCTTACACCCGCGAGCAACATAGATAAAATGCTTTTGCCTAAAATGGTTTTTTATGACTTTTAAGGGTATGACATTACCATATCATTTTTTTTGGTAATGATCAATTTGGAAACTAGAAATAGGCGATCTACTAAAGAAGCGCTTTACTTTTCAATTAAATTTATTTATGTTAAGTCATATATCAAGTGTTTGACTTGGTTATAAAATACTGTGGTTCTTCTTAAAAAGTTAGAATAGGTACATTGGAATAAGAAGTACTCCTCTAAAACTTAATTAAATCGAATAAATTTATTAATCAAATACAGATTAAAAAACCAAAATAAATTATACTTTTAGTGATGAATAACTAATGATTTTATTAATGTTGTTCTGCAAGAAAACTCTTGTGTAAGAAAGCAAAAAAGATTTTCAGTTAAATATTTAGCCTTATACTCAATGAACGATTAAAATGGAGCATTCACATTGTAAACTTAATAAAACTTCAGTACCTAATTTAGTAGTAATTTATTAACTATGGTGTATAACCTTTCTGGGGAAGTACTTACCATTCTCATTTCTCATACAGTAAAATTAGAGAATACAATTAATACTTTATTAAAATATCTCCTCTGCTAGTCAATACTCCCCTCACCAAAACTTATTTATGATCATTTCAACATTTATAATTTTAAAACTAATTATATACTGAATGTTTGTAAAATTGTCTTTTGAAAAATGTTATCAAGTATAAAATTGATAAAATAAACATACGGTATAAATCTCAAGTGTCTACAGTAGGTACAAAATAAGAAAATCACTACATAAGAAATTGAGTGAATATCTTATGTTGTAAAAATTTAACTTTCATGGACATTTTTTTTTTGTTAAAGGTAGATAACTTTATGAGGAATCTTGTATTACATTTTAAAATCTTAGATTTAACAAGGAAGTTTTTTTAGAATTTCTAACTCAAAATAATTTGCACATTTTTGTGATTTTTACACCTTTTGTCAAAATTCAAACTTTAAATGCTTATAAAAAAAAATGGTACTTATGTGTTATCTCGACTACCCAAATATTTCCAAGACTACCTGTGAGAATCACCCGTGTTATCTCGAATACCCAAATATTTCCAAGACTACCTTTTATATTCTATTTAAAAATGTACATTCCTGCGTTGTTATCTGTATCATCGTAATTGACAATTTAATTTTGTTTTCGATGTACAATTTACTATCCACGTATCTTGCCATCAGACCAGGTATTTATGTCGTCAGTCAGTCAACAGCCGTCCTTATTACGTCCGTCAGTTATTATTTACTGTATAGTACATACGCGCTACGGCTAGCCAACATGAATTTTTTTAATTTGCCATCTTCAGAAAAGGAAGCTGTGCAATTTCTTCAAGAACGCGAAGTGTTGCCAAGTGTACGGATTTGTCAAAACAATCACTTGGCAAAGTTATATTTTGGAAATGCAATGTTAAGAAATGCCAAAAAAAGGTAAATGTACGTAATGGTAATTGGTTTGCAAAATCACGAATATCGTTTACGATTGCCGTACGATTTATATATGGGTGGTCTCAGGAAATGACGAGTGCGAAATGGTGCGAGCAACAATTAGGTTTAAGCTTAAATAGTTATTGACTGGAATAATTACCCAAGCGAAGTATGTGCAATGGTTGTTGAAAATAAACCACAACCAAAAATAGGTAGACCGGAGAAAATCGTCGAGATCGATGAGTCTATTTTCGAAAAGAAAAAACCACGTTGGCAGGGTACTTCCCGAACAGTGGATATTCGGAGGAATTTGTCGAAAGACAAAAGAGTAATTTTTAATAAAAGTGCTAGATAGAAAAACAGGAACTCTGCTTTTGGCGATCCAAAATAACAATCAACAAGGTACCACGATATATTCAGATTGTTGGCGTGCTTATAACACCGAATTATTAAAATCATCCGGCTTCGATCACTATACCGTAAATCACAGTTATAATTTTGTTGACCCAACCACAGGAGCACACACACAAACGATTGAACGCCTATGGGGATCGGCAAAGTGGCGAAACAAAAAACAGAGGGGAACAGCTCGTCATCATTTAGATTCCTATCTTACTGAATTTGTTTGGCGACAAAACATTGGAGACGATACACCATTTGATCAAATTCTAATGGATCTTAAACTTCCCTCCACAAAAAAATTATTACCATACAAATTATTTTTACCAGATTTTTTTAAGTACTTATACATTATTTTGTAATAATTTTTTATAACCGTAAAAACGTAAAAAAAAATATTGTATACATATTATTTTTACCAGGTAGTCGAGATAACACGGTTGATGATAATAGGTAGTCTTGGAAATATTTTGGTAGTCGATATAACACGGTTGGGCACCCAAGGTAGTCGAGATGACGCGTAAGTACCAAAAAAATTGTGAATGGATTTTTAATATTATTTAAATATCATTATCATATTATATTATATAAATATCATATCAAGCTTTTTTTACCCAATAAATAAAATTTTATTGACATTCATAGAAAAAAAAACTAAAAATATTGGAAACAGTTTTAAACAAATCAAAATATTTTGAAAATTTAATCGTGTATAGAAAATGCTAATATAAACAACCATTAAAATTTAATTTACCTATCTACGGTCATTTACTTCAGAGATTTACACCAAAACCCAAAATCTATTTTGTCGAAAACCAATTTTGTGTAAAAATTCCTGTTTTCCTTAATTTTAATGTGTATTTTTCCCAGCGCTTTTAACCACTACTGGGAATTTTAAATGTAGACCTCCAGAATGCACCAACTAGATTCACTTTCCCATCAAACAAGATAATGTGAAAGAAAATCAAAGCAGTTTTAATGCTCCAAACTGTGTTGGACACAAAAAAAAAATTAACATCATTGTAAAATTAATTTATCGCTCTGCTCAGAATCTAAAATTATCTAGCAATAACTAAAATTGTTGAGACAGATAGAAACACTATTGGGATGGTATATTCAAAGTCGATAGACTTCTGACCAAACCGAAAACATAATATGGCAACCCTAACATAATTAAAAATTATAAGTTTTAAGAATCATCAAACCTTGAGGTACCTATTTAAAAACTTGTTTGTACTTGAACAATATTTTACAAATAAGCTACTGCGGTACCCTAAAAATATTTTTAATACATTTTAGGAACTCAAAAGAAAACTGACTAATGACTCTTTTATATTATTATTACCTTAGGAGTTGTTAACACTGGAATTACAACCCTGTCACTGACTGTTTGAATTTCCTCATTGGCAATGAACGTAGGAACATGCCTCTCAAATCGTTCAGTTTGGAGCCTCGGCATGTTTTCATAGCTCATATCTTCATTAGTCGTAGTTAGTTTAATTTTTCTACACGACCGTCTTGGTGATTCAAAATGGTTTATAACAGCATTTTGTACCTCTCTGTAAAATTCTGATTTTAGGTAACCACTTTCATCATAATAAGCCAATTTTCTAAATCTTTAAATAATTGCCAAAAAAACTTCTTGTTTAATACAATTTTCATTAACTCACCTTAAATGATTTCGTTTTCCCGGTAAAAATGCATTAGTACTAGTTTCAACATCGATACTCTGAGTGGTACAACTATACAAAAAATATATATATATATTATTGAAATTGAAAAATTTAACTTAAGAGATCAAGAAGCATTATTTATAGGGAAAAATATTTTCATCATAAGGCTGGGAAATCATATTTTAAATAAATGTAAAAACAAAATCTTGTTGAATACAATTTTCATTAACTCACCTTAAATGATTTTGTTCCCTCGGTAAAAATTCATTAGTACTCGTTTCAAAATCATTACTTTGAGCTGTATAACTATGTATAAAAAAAATATAGACATATATTATATATTATATAACCTAACCCCATACCACTCCAATCCGCTCATCTAAACTTTAAATACTTATCACTCAAAAACTACTCGTCCTAAATTCAATTTTTATGTATCAAAATACCTAGAAAAATATTCTGCTTTGGAAAATGAAATTAAAACTCCATGTTGTCATTCAAAAAAGTAAAAACCTTAACAAAATATAAGGATAAAAAATATTTAGAAGTATGATTTTTTAATAAAAACATTGTTTTTTTAACAACTTGAAACTAGTTACAAAAATTATTTTCAACAACATTAAATACTTTTTGAGATAATGGGTGTTTTACTCAAATGAAATCAGCCTGTAGAGACAAGAGCATTATTTTATAGGGTAAACCTTATCATCATAAGCGGGAAATCATAATTTTTAAATAATTGTAAAAATATAATCTGGTTTAATACAATTTTCATTAACTCACCTAAAATTTGTTTTCCCCGTAAAGTGCATTGTACTTTTCAACATCGATACTTGAGTTGTACAACTCAAAAAAAATATATATATATTATTGAATTGAAAATTTAACTTAGAGCAAAGATTAAGGGAACATATTCATCATAGGCTGGGAAATATTTAAATTTTAAAACAAAATTTTTCATTACTCACCTTAAATGATTTTGTCCTGCGGTAAAAATTCATTAGTACTCGTTTCAAAATCATTACTTTGAGCTGTATAACTATGTATAAAAAAAATATAGACATATATTATATATTATATAACCTAACCCCATACCACTCCAATCCGCTCATCTAAACTTTAAATACTTATCACTCATAAACTACTCGTCCTAAATTCAATTTTTATGTATCAAAATACCTAGAAAAATATTCTGCTTTGGAAAATGAAATTAAAACTCCATGTTGTCATTCAAAAAAGTAAAAACCTTAACAAAATATAAGGATAAAAAATATTTAGAAGTATGATTTTTTAATAAAAACATTGTTTTTTAACAACTTGAAACTATGTAAAAAAATATTTTCAACAACATTAATACTTTTTGAGATAATGGGTGTTTTACGCAAAATGAATCATCCTGTAGAGATCAAGAAGCATTATTTATAGGGAAACCATTTCATCATAAGGCTGGGAAATCATATTTTTAAATAATTGTAAAAATATAATCTGGTTTAATACAATTTTCATTAACTCACCTTAAATGATTTCGTTTTCCCGGTAAAAATGCATTAGTACTAGTTTCAACATCGATACTCTGAGTGGTACAACTATACAAAAAATATATATATATATATTATTGAAATTGAAAAATTTAACTTAAGAGATCAATAAGCATTATTTATAGGGAAAAATATTTTCATCATAAGGCTGGGAAATCATATTTTAAATAAATTTAAAAACAAAATCTTGTTGAATACAATTTTCATTAACTCACCTTAAATGATTTTGTTCCCTCGGTAAAAATTCATTAGTACTCGTTTCAAAATCATTACTTTGAGCTGTATAACTATGTATAAAAAAAATATAGACATATATTATATATTATATAACCTAACCCCATACCACTCCAATCCGCTCATCTAAACTTTAAATACTTATCACTCATAAACTACTCGTCCTAAATTCAATTTTTATGTATCAAAATACCTAGAAAAATATTCTGCTTTGGAAAATGAAATTAAAACTCCATGTTGTCATTCAAAAAAGTAAAAACCTTAACAAAATATAAGGATAAAAAATATTTAGAAGTATGATTTTTTAATAAAAACATTGTTTTTTTAACAACTTGAAACTATGTAAAAAAATATTTTCAACAACATTAATACTTTTTGAGATAATGGGTGTTTTACGCAAAATGAATCATCCTGTAGAGATCAAGAAGCCTTATTTATAGGGAAAACCATTTTCATCATAAGGCTGGGAAATCATATTTTTAAATAATTGTAAAAATATAATCTGGTTTAATACAATTTTCATTAACTCACTTTAAACCACTTTGTTCCTCCGGTAAAAGTTCATTAGTACTCGTTTCAACATCTTCACCTTGAGTTGTATAACTATGTATAAAAAAAATATATACATACATTATTGAAGTTGAAAATTTAAATTATAGAGATCAAGAAGCATTATTTATAGGGAAAACCATTTAATAAAATTTTTATTGACTTACCTTAAATGATTTTGTTCTGTTGGTAAAAATTCATTATTGTCCATTTCTATATCATTACTTTGAATAATATTAGTATAGCTATATAAAAATTAAAATATTATTAAAAATTAAAAATTAAACTAGAGATCATGAAGAATTACTTAGAAAGAAAACCATTTTCTTCATTATTTCTGTTATAAGGTTGAGGAACAGTATGTTTTTTTAAAAATTTCTTTTGTCCTGGCCTATAGTCATCTTCAAGAAAATGATCGCTGCATATACGATGCCAATCGTAACAACGATCAATGCCAAACATTTTTAGCCATTTCTTTCTTCTGTATTCATTCTTAGGAAATCTATATTAAATCAAATATCAATGAATACAATAATTGCTACTTTAAGAAAAAAATGAATATAAAGTGGAAATTCGCTAGGCTAAACGAGTTTAAAATTATCACACAATATCCCACATTGGGATTATGAACCATGTCAATAATACAGTGCAAAAATTCAGGTGTGTATTTCTCACACCGGTTTGATCGAGTGAATTTCTAATAACAATAGATACTCACGTATGATAAGTAACATTGGGACGCAGGTACCTGGTCCTCGCTTGAGTATTTCTGCACACTATGCACTTATACATTTTTAAAACGTAGGTAGTGTAAAAATAAAGTAAAAATAATTAATGTAAAAATGCAACCAACAAAATCAATTTGAAATCAAGTCGGATTTTTAAGTTAGCTTGGTCAATTGGCTGTTATTTGTATTCTAAGCAGTTGGAACTTAGATGAGAAAACTCGTTCAATAGACGTTGTCACTTGTCAACATCAATTACTCGAACATTCGGTCTCGAAATGTAAACGACATGTCCTGCATTCCGATAGCTGTGTTTCGGGGTGTACGTTTTCTTGTAGAGGGCGTGGTAGGTAATTCATTCATCAATAGAATCGTATAGGTGGTTGGGTCTCCCGTGTCGCGGTGTCGTCCTTTTTAATGGTATGCTGTATATATATATTATATTATATATGTGTTTACTGCAATCTCGCCGAGCACAGTACAAATGACATGAATGAAACCAAGAAAATAAAACTTTTAATTATATAATCAATAAATTGATTTCACATTCACAAATTTTATGAGACGATATTTTTAATATAAAAATGAAAGTTTAAATGTCGGCATGTCGCATATTATTCAGTCACGAAGAGTAAGCAACCACACACAAAACACTGCACAGTGCACACAATTACACAAATCACAACCGTCGCCAGACGGCGTTGGAGGCGCGCATTCGACCGGCATAGTCTGTGCTGGCGTGCTGCAGCTAGCAGTGCTGCCAAGTTAATTAGTCACGTGACTCGCGTATATTATAGGACATAGGTACTATTGTTCTATGGTACTATTTTACTGTGTGACGAGTGACGACTGACGAGTCGCCCATGCTTGCCCAGTTGCCCATGAATCATGATGGTAAGACAGTCGTGAGCGGTGAGCAAGATTAAATATATTGTGAATTATGATGAATGGCTTTGGCAAGAGGCACAAAAGTATGATCGGCCGACGTCCGCGAGGACATTCAGTCTGGCGTTCGGGCCTCGTTATATATCACGGTGATAAACAGTTGTCGTGACTGGGCACTGGGCAGACTCGCAGACTGAGCGGTGCACTTCGCCGGTATATAATTGTTGGTACACAGAGTCTGTTGAGGCGAAACCCCAGACTCCAGAGTGCGCTCGTGCCGCGGGTGTGGGATGGGTGCTAAAATATATTGTAATATGTGCGTCGCCACTCGCCACAGCCGATGTACCTGTATCTTTAATCGTGGAAGATGAAATGTCATCTATTCTGTGGAGAAACTGTTTATATTGTTACCTCGGTCTTTGATTACTCTTTGGAATAGCAAACCATGTCCCAGTGTGACCGTTTTGGATGCATGTCCTACACAGTGCACATCACATACCATAGTTTGATACACGGTCTGTCGGTCCACGAGAGTCCATATGTCCAAACGCGTCCGTCTCTGCGTATCTGCATGTTGCCGAATAGTGGTAATGACATCATGGTGGGAGAAAACAGACGTCGCGTATTACTATTTCGATGCGCGGTTTACGTATAGACTCTCGTGGGCCGGAGTATAGAAGATTCATAGATATAATATACAACAACTAGATAGCCGTCATTATACTACAGTTGTGACCAATATTGAAATCGGCCGCCATTTACAAAGCATGCAATGTTTACACTTATTTTACGTTTATTTATCTACATATTATATACTATGATAATATTATTTTGTAAACATTGCCTGCTTTGTAAATGGCGGCCGACTTCGATGACAAGAAGGAGACGGCTATCTAGTTGTTGTATATATCTATGAGAAGATCTTCTAACCGTGGTTTGATCTATGGTTTTGATGGGCTCGGAGGGTAGTTCATTATAGTTATGGGCGGTAACGAATAATTTATTGTACTATATAATTGACTGTATAATCATTAATCATTCGAATTTCGAATTATAAAACTCATGACTGAATAACATATTTTTTTGAAAATTATTCAAATAATTTGTAGTATCTAGACACGCGGTAGCGTGTCAAGCCAAGTTCTAGCTAACAGAACTGGCGAGCAGCACCGTGTGTAATATTACACGAACCATTTGGAGCCACTTTTGACCCCCTCATAACTCAAAAACTATTCCACATAAACATGTCAAATTTGGCTCATATATTGAGACTAACGAGATACATATGTGCTCTAAATTTCATAAACACACTTCAAACCGTTATTTAGATATTAACGTCCGAAAATCGTAATTTTTATCACTGACTTACCTATAGATCAAAATTCTAACCCAGTTCCAGATGACCTAGAAAGTTCAAATTTGGCATACAGATAGGTAGTTAGGTAAATACAAAGGAAAAAATCAGAAACTTGAAAATTTTTAATTTAAAATTTTTTAATTTTTAATTTTTAATTTTTAAATTTTTAATTTTTTAATCAATTGATTTTATTATAATTTTGCAATTTTTTTATCTATTATGTTTAATTTTTCAATTTATTAATGAATTGCCTCTAATTTAATGTAATGTAATGTAATGTTGACTTAAATAACCTTTCCCGTATCGCCGCACCAAAAATACGACTAGCCGAATATGTGTCGATATTGTCGACCCGCGCGCAGCAACATACTTTTTTTTCTATCTATGTATGTAATATTGTAATTAATATTATTTTTTTTAAATATTACAATTAAAATAATTAAATAATTATTCTTACAAATTATGAATTATCCACCCAACAGTAGAAACTACAGTCAATACAATTATGATAATTAAAAATATACTCTAAAAGAGTTAAAATAATTGTATATTAATTTTACATATATTTTATACTCTGTAAATACAACGGAAAATATTTTATAATAAATATTATTATTAATATTAGTAACTGAATTATATTATATAGTAATAAACTTTATTTATAGAATACGTCATGGCTAGGTTAGGTTAGGTTATAATAATTTACATACAAAAAGTAATGATATCCCACCAAAAACATATATGTAAAATGAGAGCCAAGTTCAATACTATAATATATGCCTTGGTTGTTGACTTCAACGACAAAAGAAGTGAGATCTAAATGGGTGCCAAGTTAGGATAATATATTGAAGCCTAAGGTCTGACTTGGCTACGAATTATATATTATAGCATTTGCAAGTTCTAAAGCTTTGAGTTCTTATTTTATTCTTCGGAAAATCATCTTCACTCTTCCATTACTGTTTTAGTAGGTACTTATAATAATAATTCGTATATGAAAAGTAGCCAAGTCACACCTTAGGCTTCAATATATTATCCTAACTTGGCACCCATTTAGATCTCACTTCTTTTGTCGTTGAAGTCAACAACCAAGGCATATATTATAGTATTGAACTTGGCTCTCATTTTACATATATGTTTTTGGTGGGATTATGTACTACCGAATAATTCTTCGAATTTTTTTTACCGTCTTCTACAATTCCTTATAACTTGTCAGTTAACTCAGTTATTACTTAGTACTAATTTTATGGTTTATAAATCAGTACCTATGTATTTGTTTAAAAGAACCCATTTATCGTTAACTGCAGAACAATATTAAATATTGATCTATAATATTGATGGTTGATCTGATAGTTTATCTCCCAGGCAATTTTATGAAATTTTTTTTTCATTATGTGTGTTTTTGCATGCTTAATTTGATAAAAGTCAATAAAAGACAAAAGTACTAAAAGCCATTCAAATTTAAGGGAATCGCAGCACAAGTATTTTTCCCACGTCTTAGACCAATAAGGGGTGGTAAATTACAATATAGCAGTGGCGTATATACGAATTATTTTCACTATGGGCCAATTTATCAGTTATCACTAGTCACGAATAGCACGACTAACATAGCCATAACTTTACATGTTTTAGGGAGCTGGGTTATAACTATGACATATACAGTACAAATAAAAATTACACAATTTAATTATTATGTAAAATTAATTTTTTGATTCTTTTTTAAAAAATATTGAAAGTTTCATTTATATATTTTAATGTCATCTTACTATGAATTTAACATCAAAGTCAATTATAAGTCATCAAAGCAAGTTCTGACCATCTAACATTTCCTTGTTGATTCTTCAAAAACGATTTTAATCAACCGGCTAACTTAATAATGGTGAAAAACTGTAAACAGTGTAGATATACATGCAATGCTTTAATTGAACCTGCAATTTCACTATGGGCTCTGGCCTAGGGGGCCTCCCCCCTATATACGCCACTGCAATATAGGTATACTTAGGAATTTCCGATTTTAATTTTTCATTCATGTATGAACTCTTTAACAAATTATCTAAGCTTCTTAGGCAGTTGATTTTCAATTTTAAAAAACCTGAAAATAAGGTTTTTTTTTCAAAAATCTCATGAAATAATTGCTTTACTTTTGTATTTATATTGGGCACAACTGATTTTAAATCAAAAAACTAAAAAGTGAATGTCGCGTGAATCTACGCTTACTACGTAGGTTACAATTGAGTCACTGTATTATGGATTGTATATTTAATTTGCTATCAAAACATTGTATAACCGTATAGGTACGAAAAATGATTCTGAGTGGTGACAGTTTGTCAGTGTGGATATTTTTTATTATATTTATATTTGTATTGCTTATTATTAATACGGTAGCCGGTAAGTTGAATTAATATTATAAAATTACAACATAATAACCAAAATAGTTATTTTTGGTTATTTAATATTTAATTTACTCCAAATTTGAACATTAAAAAACTATAAAAAAAAAACAGTGATTTATATGTTTCGGTTACAGAATTAACGAATATTGACGTGGAACCTTGTTGTAAGTTTTCAACCCTTACCCATAAAAGTTGAGCAGTTAATACATTTTAGATTCTGAGTGGAACGATGAATGTATTGATTTTACAATGATGTGTGTTTTTTTTTTAATTTTTAAATTTTTTTTTTGTGTCTGTCATCACGTTTTAGGACGTAAAAGTGCTTGGATTTTCTTCAACAGTAGCTTTTCTGATAGGAAAGTGAATCTAGTTGGTACTTGGAGGGGGGGGGGGTCAAAAGTGAAAATTTCCCAGTAGTTTTCAAAAACAAAATAAAAATTAAGGAAATACGGGAATTTTTACACTAAAATCTGTTTTCGAAAAAATCGATTTTGGTTTTTGGTGCAACTCTTAAACAAATGACCGAAGGTACATGAAATTTTGACTGAATGTTTATATTAGCATTTTCTATACACGATAACATTTTCAAAATGTTTTGATGTATTTTGAACTGTTTAGTCACATTTTCATTTTCTATTTTTTTTTAGTTTTTTTTTCTAAAAATATCAATAAAATTTTATTTGTTGGTTAAAAAAGATTGAAAATTGAATAGAAGGCTCCTAGTATATTGTTTCGAAGGCAGATGAAAAATATTAAAAATCCTTAGTAACAATTTTTTTTTATAAGCATTTAAAGTTCAAAAATTGACAAAATATGGAAAAATCATGAAAATTAGCAAATTATTTTGAGTTAAGAATTCGTAAAAATTTTTCTTTTTGAATCTAAGATTTGAAAATCTAATGCAAGATTACTCATAAGTTTGTCTACCTTTATCAAAAAAAAAAATGTCTATAAGAAAGTCAAATTAAATTTGTATGAGCGTTTGAAATTCAAATTTTTACAACATTGGATATTCACTCGATTTCTCATGTAGCGATTTCCTTATTTTGTTGTAATTCAAAAACGAATAACTGTAGATACATGAAAATTTCACTGAATGTTTATATTAAAATTTTGAAAGTATTTTGATTTTTTTTTGAGCTGTTTACAGACATTTAAAGTTTTCAATTTTTTTAGTTTTTTTTTCTATAAATATCAAAAAAGTTTTATCTGTTGGGCCAAGAAGTGTAAAAATGTAATACAAGGCTTCTGATATATTGTTACAATATCAGTTGAAAAATATTAAAAATACATAGGCACAATTTTTTTATAAGTATTTAAAGATCGAATTTTGACAAAATTTATTAAATTTAAAATTGAATAATTATTTTATAGTTAAAAATTTATAAAATGTTCAAATTTTATATCTAAGTATTTATTCTTTTTAACAAGAGTTTAACAAGTTAATATTCTGTTACCAAAAACTCTTAAAAATACATGAGCACAGTTTATTTTTATACCTAGTCATTTTAAGTTCAAATTGGACGAAATTATATAATAAAAAACCTAGAATAACTATTTTAGTTATTTTGTTGTGATTGTATAATATTATTCGTGGGTACTTCAGTACTTGAAACTTCTAAAGTAGGTACACTATTATATATCAATGATAGCATCAGGGTTTGGATTGTTGATGTATAACGCGTATAAGTACCTAATGGATATTGTGATATGATTAATTTGGAATTTATTATAGGTACCTATTATAGGTCAATTTTTTTTAATACCATATAGATAAGTATATAATATGTCTTATACCTAGACTGACATAGGTACAGTCTCCGCTCAGAATCGTTTTTCTTATACAATGATATTATATCATTGAATTCAAATTTAATACCATCCATTATACTGCAGTGATGACCCACTTGTAACCTACTGTACAGCAGAGCACCTTTTTTGTTATATTATTTTCAAAATAAATGTGCTGAATATTTCAACTTTAAAAACAACACTATTTAATGTGGCATAAATTCACTTTAGCTCCCCTGCCTTTTTTTTAACGAGGAGAACGATGGTGAAAAAAAATTTGCTGGAATCACATAGACCTGATGGCTGTTAAAAGATCAGGTCGATGGGGAATCATCATTTTGGAAGTACCTATTATAATATATCCTCGAATCCTTCTAAAGTTTGCGATTTTACATTTATACGCATGCTTACAACACTGTACCGTCTATTTTACTGCTGCGCCTAGGTAGTAGACGGTACCTACCTATATATCAAATTTTGATTTGTTGACAAATTTCTGATTTCATCAAAATATCATTTATATAGGCACACATCGTAATCAGTAGGTACTATAACTATTTCGTTGAACTATTACATATGTAGTTAAGCACGTGAAAACAATTGTGTAAATTGTGAAGTGAGAATTTGGCGGTCAGACTTAGTTTTAAAGGTATACCTAGGGTCTAGAATTATATAAATGTATTATAATATAATTATAAATCCACGATTATGAATTATAGTATTGTTTTCTATAATACAGTGGTGTACTCCCTCGAATCGTCGAATCTCGATGCGACATTGCGACGATGCCTAGTCGTAATAATAATAATAATAATAACTCGAGTGGCGACCACGGTTTATGGCATCCATGGTAATTGCCAATTGGTGTTTAATATTTAATATTTATGTGGCAACAGTAAGTTTCAGTTGTAAGTTATATTATGTAATATTATAATATTATGATCTAAAGGCTGTCAATTGTCGTTTTATCAAATTTTCAATTTGGGTTTTGAAGGCGGTGCCTATTTCATAGATAACAGATTACAGATTACAGAATAATTCGTGTTCGTCGTCGTCGTGCGACGCGATAATAACGATATCGGCCTTAATTGATAACATATATTGACAATACCACAAAAGTCAACTCACTCGCCTTTAGGTCGTAATTAAACGCGTTTTGCACTATCGCATTTATAATAGCTGTACGTTCACCAAAACATGACGATTAACGAATAATGATTAATAGCGTCCAACGCGGAACAATATGGTGAGTATACGTGCCACACGTACCTATATAAATATAAATCATAAATCGTAATAGTAACTAAGTGGGTAATTTAATATGATACGTGCACCTAGGCCTGACGGTGAAACATAATGTGACATTAATAAACAAACTGCAAGTACCCAATGGATATAACAATGATATTATTATGTTCTATGGGCATTGTTACCCTTAAGAATTATTCAACCATCGCGTTCCGTCCAATTCGGATGAGTGTGATGAAAAATGTTTCACGAACACGATCGTCGGTGCGGCTGTTACGCTGGGGCTGGTCCGCTGCGATCGCAATGTATAGAGAATATGACGTGTATAATATATTTTTTATGAGATGACGCGTTGTGTGAATGATCTACACTGTTAATTGAGATATATTTTAATGACATTCTGATCTTAGATATGGAAATTCCATTAACATTTGACTTGTGATTTGATTTTCGTAACGTGCATATTGTTATAGATACTGAGGTTTCTGCACCGCCCGTAAATAGTTATTTTATATTTAATCAGCTTTATTGGATCGTAGCTTATGAAATAATTAATAAATAACAATCAATACTTCGTATCACCGTTATCTTATTATGATCGGTAATTCAAACCAAAAACTAGGTTATCGTTACTAGTATTTTTGTAGACAAGAAAATATTTTCGGTATGTTGACTGCTGTTGGTTAGAAATAAAAATTATTAAAAGACAATTTTATATTATTTAAAGCAACTATCAGTTATCACATATAATACTTTTACCATTTTAGGTGCATGTACAAAATACGTATTACATATTTCTAGTGTTCTATTTGTATAATTTTTATATGTAATTATAACATGTTTCAATATTATTGTTTAGATGCATTTCATGTTACTATTCAGTCGTCAAGGCAAGCTTCGGCTTCAAAAATGGTATGTAGCTCATCCCGACAAGGTGAAAAAGAAAATTACCAGAGAACTTATAACCACAATTTTAGCCAGGAAACCTAAAATGTGTAGTTTTCTTGAATGGAAAGAATTAAAAATTGTCTATAAAAGGTATGTTGTTGAAAAAAATAAAATGAAAATATATTATTGAAAAATTGACTTTCAGGTACGCAAGTCTGTATTTTTGTTGTGCTATTGAACAGAATGACAATGAACTTCTTACTTTGGAAATCATTCACCGCTATGTTGAATTATTAGACAAGTATTTTGGCAGTGTAAGTTTTGTAGTCCTATTTATTTTTATTGAAATTTTCATAGTGTCAATAATACAACTTCTTTTGTAGGTCTGTGAGCTGGATATAATATTCAACTTCGAAAAGGCATATTTTATACTGGATGAGTTATTATTGGGTGGGGAAATACAGGAGACTAGTAAGAAAAATGTACTCAAGGCTATTTCAGCTCAGGATCTCTTGCAAGAGGTTAGTTATGGAAATACTCCATTAGAACTTTAATTAATTTCACTACCTACAATTATTTAAGTCAATTTTGTCATAAGACAAAAAATGGTACATATTTTATTTAACATTGGTACAAAATAGGACTATAATATTATAAACGATAATGATATATCATGCCAATTCATTAGAATACTAATTTGCTCATATTATTTAATAATTATTATTATTCCGTCATAATTTGTAATTTAACTGTAAAATTCATCTCATAATCTATAACTTGTAATAGTTACATTTTCATTAAGAACACCGATGTATTTAAAAGTTTAATACATACTTTTTATGAGAAATTTAAATATATTTATAAAGTTCAGTCTAGTCAACTAAAATGATAGTCACTTTTTAATTTGCTTAAACTATATACAGTTTATTTAAATACCAAAATATGTTTTGCCAAATTCATTATTTAGATAATTGAATCTATATTTTTGTATTAACCTGTAGAGTACAACATTTTGAACATTATTTTAAGTATACCTATATTGTAAGATATATTTGTTTATCCTAAGAACTTGCCTTCCATAATGCCTTTATTATGCTGCTAATGATTAATACTCTTTAATTTATTATAATATTCTGTAGAAACCTATATCTTACCATTATTATTAAACTAATTAAACCTATATATTTTTATTGTTATAACCCAATGCTGTTATTTTAGTTATATTTTTAGCTAACTATTTTAACATACTAAAAGTTGTGCTTGTTTATGTATTCAATTGTTTATCTCCTATGATTAGCAATTTAACTCTTTACAATTTATAATATCTATGTTTAAACTAATTGTTTTATAGTTTATTTTTTAAATTTATTAAAATTATATTAATGCTATTTCTTCTGCTTTTATAATATTAAACATACAATTAACATAACTCCACTATTTACATGGATATAAATTATATAAAAAGTATTATTTAATGTTATTTCCACAATAAAAACATTAAACAGTTATATTAATCAAACAGTATACACTTTTCAGTCAATTTTAAATAAATCAAAAAAAATAATGGAATTTAAATTTTATATATTATAATATAATTTATAATTAACTAAATATATAATATAAGTAACTGTTTTTACCATTAAATTAAAAAAAGGGTAGCAAAAAGTAACAAATATTAATTAATTGTTCAAACACTACCTTAACTAGTTTTCTATCAACTTTTAAGAATTTAAAATGTTTTAATCAATTCAACTGTTATTTTATTTTTATCTTTATTCACAATTATTAAGAGGATGCTACCTGCATGGTATAATATACTAAAATATTTGTTTGTAATTTTTAATACAGTTTTTTTTTTTATAAATAACAGTAAGTTTACATATTATCCAACTTAAAGACAATAATATCATTATCTATGCAGTCTTGACTTTTTTCCCGATATTTTAATTTTAAAGAGAGTTTTTAATAGATAAAATATAACTATTTCTAAAAACTTATAAATTGCTTTTATATTAAAATATCGAAGAATACCAGCAAGAAAATATGTTTATAGTTAATGTTTTTAAGTTTGATAATAGATAAATATATTTTAATGATAAAAACAACAAAACTGTGCTGGAAATGAAGTTTGTATATTATTTAGAAATCTTATGCGTGTGTCAGACAGAAAAAAACAAATGTGTGTAGTTTCTTCTTAAGAGGATGCTACCCCTACAACAGTCCACCTTACTCTTACACACGTATGACATTTTTGTTCTCTAGTTCAATAGTGTGCTGTTAGTTTTTATATTAGAGTGATTTAACCTATTATTAATTTTTTAGATGAGAACATTATCTGTGCATTGTATTGGCTTTTATTCAATATTTTAATTTTTATGAGAAATATGAGCATTTTTAATTTTTGATATTTCACATACTATGGGTATGTCTTGCTTGAAAATGAAAATTTCGAAAAATCAGCAACGCTTATGCACAGATAATGTTCTTACCTAAAAGTTTTATAATAGGTCAATTCACTCTAGTATCAAAACAGCACACTATTGAAACTAGTGAACAAAAATTTGGTATGTCGTGTGTGTGTAAGACTGAGACAACAAATGTAAGGGTTGCGTCCTCTTAAACAAAATACATGTTATTGGAACATTTCTATAATTCCTTTTAAATCACCTATTTATTTATGGAATTAAGGTACTTTCTAAACTTTTTTTCAAAATTGTATTTTTATTAATTTACTTATAATATTTCAATACATTTTTAATGCTATTCTTATTAAAAATACTGTTACTATAATTGATTATATCATAGAGTTAACATCACAGAGTTAAATTGCTAAGTTTAACCAAAGAAAATTATAGTTAATGTAAATGTTGCACGTCTTGTCTAATATTCATTGTAACAACTATCTAGTCCAATTTTAAATATCAATCTTTAATATTATCATACTGATATGTTTTATCATTATTCATTACAATATTCATATTATTTATTAGAAAGAAATGCAATTTTAATATAAAATTATTCATACATTCATTCATTAAAATTAAAAAATATTGTTATAGTAATTAAGAAAACCAAATAAGTTAATATTTATATTATTCGTCATCACATTTTATGTTAATAATAACCAATTTTTATTTGTGATATTGTTTATTATTATTATTTTTTTTATTATTAAAGTGACTATAAAAATGTTTTACTTAATAAATAATTAAAATAAACCTTTTTTTTTCTTTAAAACAAAATTATTAATTATTATTATTATTATTATATGATTAACAGCACATTTTATTTTTGGTTATTATACATTTTTAAACATACATTTTATAATTATATAATTTTTAAACTAAACTTCATTTTTACCACTTATATAATATTTTAAAAATTGATGTTAAAAATTAATGATTTTGAAAGTGTTTTTCTTTTGTGTTTATCTATTTACAATTTAATCAAAATATAAATATAATATATTATATTATTTAAGTACAACGGGGTTCATGTATTTAGTATTTTAAGTATCTTTTATTAGCCAACATTGTTTGAATTCCTTGGGTTTATTTGTAGTACAATGGGTTTTGTTTTGTTTTGTTTTGTTTTTATGATTGATTAATATAAATAAATACATATAGTAAATTTTTATTATTTTATTTTTGTAGCTTTAATTTTGAAAAAAAAAATTGAATAGCTATCCATATTTGATTACCTTACTTGATTTCTGTAATAAATATATTACCTGCATGATTACCAGTTATTAGATGCTTTTCAATTTTTCAATTTTTCAATTTTGGGATATTAATATTAATATGTTTGTATGTAGGAGGAGGCAGTCGAAGGCGCTCTGAAAGAGATTGGCCTGTTATGAGAGCATCCAATATAATTAATATTTCATACAATTTTATTACTTGCAATTATAATTGTAATGTTTTTTTTTACATATATATTTATATAATTCAAACAATGTGTCTTTCATAAAATGTTAGTCTTGGATTTGATGTAAAGAGCTGTTGCTGAATACAATGTTATTAATAAATAACTTATCAAAATATCAGGTTTCTATCATTGACGTCCTAATAAGATATTAAAAAAATAATACCCATCTTTTTTTATCTGTAAACATTCGTGTATTCTATTAGTTTTTTTGATTCTAATAAACTTTTTTTTATATTGTTGAGTTTTCTCATAAAATAAACTTCTATTAATGTATTAACTAACATGATGTTGAAAAAATAAAAAATAAAATTTTCATGCTTAGCTGTATGCGCTTTTTACTGACTCGGTTTTAAGTGATATTAGTTATTTTTTTTTACCAAAAAGTGTTTGATCATAACATGGATGTTATGTTTGTGGAAAGGTTTGAGGGTTAATTGTTTTTTTTTTAACAGTTCTGTTCTTATTTAAATTTAGTTATTTAAATTTATGTTAATACAATAAATGTGGCGTTACAAGAAATGTCAGCAAACATTTTGGTGCTACGGTATGTTTATAAGAGCACACAGTGTTTATAATATATTAAAACTATTGCCCTATCCATTACCTCTTCAGTTATTTACTAATTGTTTTGTTTATAAAATCCTTTTCTACGTATTTTTATTTTTGCACCCTGTTTTATCTAACTTTACATTTTATGCGTTACTTTTTATAATTATTTGTTCCTTTATTTTTCAGGAAGAAACACCTCAAACCTTTTTTGAAGACCATGGCCTCGGTTAACAAATATTGATTGAACACATTCCATAGACATTCCAAACTAATTGATAAATAAATATAACAAAAAAGAAACAAGTATTAGACACAATTTATTATACTTACGCCTTATTATTATTATCACTTTTTATTATAATATGTATATTGTAATGTATGTATACAACACTATAGGTGACAGTGCTACATGTCCGTCCAGTTTTATTACAATTTTTTTTTTGTCTATAGGCAATAAAAATTAAAATTAAACTTTTTTTTCGTTTTATGCTCCTATATTACACTAGTATTCGTCTAAAAATAACATTCGGTCCGAACGTGTGCCAAACGACAGTTCACAGTGGTCACTGTATAATAATATGTATGTGTGCACAGAAACCACACGACAAATGTGTTTGTTACAACGATTCGGCGAAGAGTACCGTTAAAAATATGGTCCACATTATAATGGCGTCGAGCAGCTTGACGTTGATTTACGATTGTGTCCAGTTTGTTGTGTGTCGGATATAGTAGTTATATAATAATGCCATGAACAAACACCACGATATATTTCGTAAACGCATATTCATATATTATATAATTTAAACGTTTATTCATCTAAAAATGCACAATATCATAAGTAGGTAGTACCTACTAGGTACCGTAAAAATAATGTACCTACAGTAGGTATAAATGTCTAATATAATATATTATTATAGCGACTTGTCGTCACGAGTAGCGTCTATAATAATATAGAGTAGGGACTAAGGTACTTCACTACCTCAGTACCTGAATACATGGAGATTATTATATTATGTTGATAGGTTTCTTCAAAATCAAACGTCGCAACAATATTGTTCAGCTTTATATATTATCTTATATCTAAAACAGTAAGTCGGTACATATGTATATTGTATTTTATATCTACATCTATAAGACAAATTATTATAATAATAATAATTAAAAAAAAAAAAAAAAAATTCAATTTTAATTTTATGAAATTAGTAACTTTTTGGATATGCTTATATTATAATAATGTTTATAAATTACAATAACTTATGACGATCTAATAGTGTATACGATGTATATATAATATATTTTTAGATATTATAATATAATAGTACGGTTGGACGAGATGAGCTATATTATCATAATTTATCTAATATAACTGGTCAGAGCACATCGCAAAAATGTAACGATGGAGCGTATTTCGGTGTTTATTATATTATTATTATAACTTTTAAATTGGACGGGTTTCGACAGCCCACGTGAGTGGCGTGTGGCGTCGAGGCGGAAATAAATCGCTCGCAGTACGCGCTGACCAGTCGGTATATAGGTACCTACTTAACATTTGCGTCGAGTGTGTAAAAATAGCGAACGGTAAATGGCAAACGGAAAACGTCGTCGTCGTGTACGGATTTTGTTGCCAGATATTAAAATTAAAATCTAGTTCACGCGCACGCCATTCCTCCAGTCGACTATTTTCGGTCGAGTACGACAACGATGATTATAATATACAATTATTATATTATACGCATTGTGTAGTACAACTGTAGTGAGTGTGCGTGTACTTGTGTGACAAGGGCGGAGAGGAACGATCGAAACTCGTTTAATATACAGCGGTTGTTGTGGGGGGGGGGAGGAGGGAGAAGGATTTTTTCGGTTTTGTTTTTCGTTTCACGACGTTATAGTAACCGAGTAATATAAATGTAAGGGTCGGTGGGGACGTATGTGTAAGGGATGAAGGTGGTGAGGTAACCGTAATAATAATATAATAGTATATACACCGTATAATAGTAATAATGATAATAATAATAATTCGAGACCACAAACTACGATATTATAATACGCGTATAATATGCATGCAGGACAGATCGGTGCTTTGGTCGTCGGTTATATAATATATGTACAGGCGGGTAAAATGTATGTATTTGTATATATTTAAAAACGCACACATTCACACACGATAATCGTTTTTAAACGAGGGGAAGTAATAAAGTTTATTTCTTATTTACATTTACGGAGGTACCTATATATTATTGTAGCGGTGGGTCAAATATATAAAGAGAGACTACAGCGTTAATAATAATAATAATATATAAATATATAATATATAGGTTCTATAATATATTTAAATGTTTATATACTTATACCTAAGACGGACTTAACGAATAGTTACACAAACCACATATATTTCTAACTATATTATATCTAATTACCTACCTACGTGTAATAATAACGGTGATAATGTATTATGCGCCTAATGATGAGAATAATGCAAAATATATAATATTATGTACGCCATACAAGTGAATAAGTACTTAAACAGTAATTTTTTTATTCAATGACATCGTCCGATTTATAAATTATGCATACGGTACACAAGGCACTGTACACAATGCTCGTTGTATAGCTGGAAATTGCAATGCTTACTCGTCTAGTTATTTTGAAATGTAATATTAATTAAATTTATTAAGAGGAACCCAGGAACATCGTTTATTATTAATTGTATTTGAATTTGAATTATCTACTTTGTCTTGAAAACTGACTAAAATATATTATGTAATAAATTATACTAATTTGTATATGTATCTTTTAGGTATATATTATTAATATTTGGCAAATGAGACTACCTATATAGGTACTATCTAGCTATTACTACCTACATTATTATTGAGAATAAACGCAGATCATTATATTAATGCTAATAAGTAATAATGCTGTACCTATTTTAAAATTATTGTTTTATCGGATTGTAGGTACTAGGTAGTTATAGTTTTAGTTCTTTTATTTTTTAATATCGGCTCATTTTTTTTTTCCAAAAATGTTTGGTCTTTAATTACTTAGGTACCTAATCGGTTTGTTATTATTATACATAGGATATCTATAAAAATTATATCGGTCACTATTATTTATTTTCTGTAATTCTGCATATCGAGAACGCGTGTCTCGATCGTCGATCGTGTACCGGGAGGGTTGTACAATAAATAAAACGTAATTTTGGCTCTATTATTTTAATTATTAGTTATAACTCTGCCTGACTCATATTGTTATAACTAAATTAATTTTTGTGTCTCATAGTAGTCTAGTGTGGGAGCAGGTTAGGTTTGATGTGATCGAACGCGTGTCTCAACTCTCAACCCAGCCGTCGATGGATCGAATTCTGACTCCGATTTTCAACGAAATCATACCTTAAACCATCGTGATTACAGGCGTGGGCAAAGGGGCGATTTTGCGTTTTTTAACTCAACAATTTTCTCTGATATTTTTGACGTGAATCCGAAAAACCCATTTTAGTGAACCGAAGGTACGAACGACCGGAACTTTACTCCTGAGCTCTTAGATACTAAATTGTGCAGTGTTATTCAAAATGAATCATTAGACGCTTTACATTTGGCTCCTTAGGTCATCAGATCTTACGCTATGTGACTACTTATCATGGGGATGTGTTAAACTAATAATTTATTCTTAGATACAATATCATGTGATCATTGTGATCAGTAACAAATCGCGATACGATAACGTTACACATTGTAACTTTGTATAAGTTGGCAAGTAAAAATGTTCGCAATGGTATTATTCAAAAAGGTACTGCCGATAAGAAAAGTAGGATACTGTACCAGGGTGGCAGTGTACCACGATTTATCTTCAACACAGAGGAGCTAAAAAATTAGCGGACACTATTCCAGCGGATATGCATGGAATGAATTTAAGAGGTGTAACACGATTGCAGACTTTTTAACTGCAAAAAACAACACGATTTAGCACAAAAAGTTCTTATTTTTTATTAAGATTAATTTATGACTATACGTATTAGGTTATTATTATGCAACTATGAATTTACCGACATTAGGAAATTTGGAAATTTTATGAACTTCATTTATGTTTTAGTTTGTTTTTCGTTGGACATGCAATCAATATTTCTGACTACGTATATAGTCAGATAGGTACGTTATTAATTATTATATTTTGATTATATTTTTGTTGACGAATATTATTATTAAAATACAATTTAATATAATATAATAGGTATATATTATATTATATAGGTAATATATACTACGTTTTAGTAGTGTAAGTAAATCATCAGTGACATTGTTAGACAATTATTAATATTTCTTTAAATCCAAGTAATCCAACAATATAAATTGTTATGCGCATTCGTGTTATGTTTTCTCAAGTCTAAATAGGAAAAAAGTGCAAATTCGTATTGTACCGGAATTGAAGTTCTTACTATATTATGTTGTTCTTGTGACCAAGGGAAGCCACATAGAATATTAATTATATATTTATGTAGGTAAATACCATTAAATCAATTTGAAATATTGTTATTTTAATTAATATGTACCTATCATATTATATTACTTTAACCCTAAAAACTAAAAATATATAAACATTTTATATCGGATGAATAACCCTTTGAATAACCCCTTTGTATTACAATATTATATTATCTGCGTTGATTCGGACTCTTGTTTTTATGCCGTGCATTTGACGATTAAACGCCAGCGGGTGTAACACTTCATCTCATTTAAATATCTCTTTTAAACTTGTGTACAGGTATAAGCGTCATAATAAAAAATATTAATTTTTCTTGATATTTCGCCGGAGGGTGTGCACTGACGGAACTTAAATATATGGGATCCTAGATCCCGGGGATTATCACACGCTGACGATCTTAAAATGTAATATGTTTATTTTATGTGCTAACAAAACTCAATATAATATATATATATATATAAAGTTATATAGTAATTGGCTAAGTAGCCTAAGTACCTAAGCACGAGAAAACAAGAAAGAAAATGTAATCGTAACGAGCAAGAACGAACCTTTAACTTACGTTATATATGTTAATGTGTAATATGTGTATGTATGTATATATATATATAAAGGTTAAAAGGTGCACATATGGGCCTGCATCAGCTCAAAACCTTGAAGATGGTAATTTGCGTCACTATATAATATTATGTAGATTATATATACCTACCAGCTAATAATAATTACTGCTTTTGGCGCCGGCAGTGTTCAGCGCCGCTTTCGGGCGGATAAAAGGATATTATAATAATATAGATACACGCTCGCGTGACTGCTCTACCGAAAATGTATATTATTACCTGCAGCTGACTCGAAATGATTTTAACGATTCTAAAATTCTCCCCTTCGACTAGGAAATACTAAATTATATTATTACAACGCGTTGGGCTGGTTCGGCATTTTATCCGGCGAGGAGAGAGAGTTAGCTGGTGTGCGACGTGTCATCCAAGTACGCGGTCGCCGTGGCATTTACGGAGGTCTCACTGCAGACATGATGATATCATAGCCGAAGAGGGTATTTTTCAGGAAATCGCCTCAAGTCCAAAATGGGTGCTGGTGTGAGATAAACGTTGAAAATAAGAAAAATATAACGATGACGGATTTTTTGTAGAAAAAGAGTATTTTTATAGGACATACAAATCCGTATTTTGGAACCCAAGGTGGGTTCTTAATATTGTTTTTATTGCTTCAAGTTTAAAAGTCGTTCAGAGTTCAGACACGCCACTGCTCGATGGTAGCACACAGGTGGTGTTAGATATAGTATTATCGTAACGCATACTATATACAGGCCCTATGATGGTAAATCGTCATCTATATATACTTTTCACCGGACCTCAAGGTGTTTCGATTCGTGTGAAAAACTACACTACTTATGTACAAAATGTTATAATACAATATGTACACGTTTTGGAAATTGTTTTCGAAGACGAAACGCAACGAGGATTATCGAAATGTGATGAAAACGCGACTGATTCTTACAGTATCCTTCACTACCTAGACGAAGAAAAGGGTATTTTTATTTTATACATACGACAGATTATGGGCGTTCGGGAACCGGACCACAATAGTTAACCATTTTTTAAAAAGGAATACCTACTCAGTAATTGGGCTACTATACAATTTTACATATATAGAAGGCGCACCTGCGGTAACTGGGGCACTATAGGCTACGACTTAACTATTTTTATGAACTTCTTATAGATTTTGGGGAACATAATATTGTTATGAGCGTATCCGAGGTATATTTGTCATTTGTCCCACTACACCGTAATCGTACTAGTAATGATATGTTTTTAATTGTACTTATCTCATTATTTTAAAAAATAGTTGTTTTCGGCTTATTATTGATATAATTATTATAATTTATAACTGACTGTGCGTACCCATAATTATTATTGTATATTATCAAATATTTTAATTTAATTCATGGCTTTGTTGATTGAATAAATATGTGGGCACCTATTAACTATATATTAAATTGAATTTATTTAAGTTATAAGTATTATTTTGATTAAGTTATAAAATGTATATTTATATTTAATATATATGGTCAAATTGCCGGTACCCTTTAAACATTTCATATTTTAGTTGTGGTCCAATACCCGGGTAATGTTTAGTATACGAAACAGGTAGATAATAATATGACATGCAACGTGGCCTAATATTGCTGACCGCCCGAGAAGTTATCTGGTCGTTTTCGACGTAAATCGCGGTCATTTAAGTCGAGTGAAAATCGCGTAGTCGATTGGCAAAGGGGCGATGATAGGCAGGTGCATGTAAACATAATAATATATAATATGTATAGCCTGTGAATATTGTACGTAAACATATCATTTACAGTGGTGATTCGTGTATATATATATATAACAGTAAATTATAAAATAAAATAAAGTTGGTAATGATAATAATAATAATAATAATAATTGTATAGTGGGACGGATGTCATTATAATATTATATTATTATCATAATAATATCATAGATGTAATAGTCGGACATCAGTTGTATAATATAATAAAGCCGGGTTCACTGCAGCCACTTATGTCGTCTGTCGTGTCGCGTCCAAAAGTCAAGCTCGGCCCGACATTGGAATTTTCACGACATACATCGTGGTTGTATCATAATAATATAATATTATGATTGTCACGAAAATACGATGAAAAGCGCTGCACGGCATGACTGACCGCGCGCGCGGTGAACCCGGCTTGATACGGCAGCGGCGCGCTTAGAGAACGGCCGTGGCGGTCAGCTGCTGCTTGTTGTTGGCGGCATGCCTGCCGTGGGTGGTGCCGGCACGGATGAGAGGTTCGCGTTTGCCGGTGGCCGCGGCGCCGATTATGTCGGTCATTTGGGTGACCTCCGTGTTGCGCCGTACCATGGTGCCGGACCGCGGGTAGCTGACCGACTGACCGGAGCGTAGCGTTGCGCGCGTGCCGGGCCGCCAGGAACGGCATGAACGTGATCATGAGCGTGCGCCGGTACTTGCGGCTCATGGCGCAGTACAGCATGAAGTTGGACGCGGCGTTCACCACCATCAGGAAGTTGAAAATGGTGTGCAGACCGCGGTTCACGTAGTACGCGGGTGTCTTCTCGGGCGGCTCGTACACGGACGCCGTCAGCATCATCACGGCCGTCGGCGTCTGACACACGCAGAACATGATCACCACGGCGATCAGCGTCATGGTCATTTTGTTCTCCTGTCGCTGCCTGTTCCACACCACGTTCCCCTGCGAACAACATGCGCGATAAATTAGACGATGATATTATAATACAAATTAATGTAATGAGTCTCTGATCAGACGTAATAACAATAATAGAATAATAAATAATAAAATACAGGTCGCTGCGCCCTATGTCCTAGGGCTAGTGGTATCTCAAATGTTTATATCGGTATCTGGTATTTGTTTACTCCGGGTATCGGCGGTGTGGTTATACTCGGTATAATACTTCCGGGGAATAGAATAAAAAATGGTTCATGTTCTAAACTGTTCTAGATCAGAGGTTTGTAACCTCTTCGCTGAAAGTCGTGGACCATCATATAGGTACCTATAGTTTTCAAAGTAGGACTACTGGCCATTTATGTCCTTTCGTGGTTTAAGTACCTACTACCTACAAACAAATAGTAGATTTTCTAAATATAATAAAGACTAGTAGGTACCTATCCCGCTGTATAACAAAGACATAATATATATTATATATATATATATATAGCTGTAGTCAATTTGCACCAAAGTTGACCCAAAATATATACAACATGTGTAATTTGCACTATTTTTTTAAAATGCGTTTGTAATTTGCAACAAAATAAGGATATGTAATTTGAACCATCCTCAAGTAGTAAGAAATAGGAATTGTAATTTACACCAAATTAAAATCGATTATTTTTTCGATAGTATCTCGATAGTACCAACTTACAAATTTCTATATCCTAAATCCTAATATAAATTTAGCTTAGTTTTTATTTATAAAATAGCTGAGCTTATACACATATTGTTGTAAGCTTATATAAAATCGTATTATTATGAATATAAAAAAAGTTAGCTTTTTTTAATTCTACATATAATTATTTTAATTGACTAAATTATATTTATATTAATTAATAATTTAATATTAATATAAATATAAATATTATAATTTATATTATTTTTATTAATATTAATATAAATATAAATATTATAATTTATATTATTTTTATTAATATTAATATATATTTTATTTATTTATTAATATTAATATTAATAATTTATCTATTAATTTTATTATATTTTATTCATAATAATACGATTTTATATAAACTTACAACAATATGTGTGCAATCTCGGCTATTTTATAAATAAAAGCTAAGCTAAAGTTATATTAGGATATAGAAACTTGTCAGCAGGGCCGTCCCGAACAACAATTCATGGGGGGGGGGGTAGATCTATTAATTTGCCGACTGAAAAATTTTTTTCTCGCTTCGCTCGAATACGTTTTCTACTATATTATATTTATATTTATATTATTATTTAATTTATACCATTAGGTACCTTAGTAGCTGCCTATATCTACTTACATAAATATTAATACAATTTACTAATTTTTATTTGTTAATAACATAATACTGATAGTTAGTATTATTTATTTTAAGTACTTTAAGTATTTTTACTTACTTGTTTTGAATTTGATTTAGAAGCTTCGAATGGATTTTTAGGAGCACCAAAATGTTTGGTACCGACTTTTTTACCATTATGTATATTAGATTCTGAGTGAAACGATGAATGTATTGATTTTACAATGATGTGTGTTTTTTTTTTTATTTTTTTTTATTTTTTATTTTTTTTTTATTTTGTGTCTGTCATCACGTTTTAGGACAGTAAAAGTGCTTGGATTTTCTTCATCAGTAGCTTTTCTGATAGGAAAGTGAATCTAGTTGGTACTTTGGGGGGTCAAAAGTATAAATTTCCCAGTAGTTTTCACAAGCGCTGGGAAAAACAACACATAAAAATTAAGGAAAAACGGGAATTTTTACGCAAAATTGGTTTTCCAAAAAATCGATTTTGGTTTTTGGTGTAACTCTGAAACAAATGAACGTATATACATGAAATTTTCACTGGTTGTTTATATTTGCATTTTCTATACACGATAACATTTTCAAAATATTTTGATTTATTTTGAACTGTTTAGGGACATTTTCATTTTCCATTTTTTTTTAGTTTTTTTTCTAAAAATATTAATAAAATTGTATTTGTTGGTTGCGAAAGCTTGAAAATTTAATGGAAGGCTCCTAATATATTGTTTCAAAGGCAGATGAAAAATATTAAAAATCCTTAGTCACAATTTTTTTTATAAGCATTTAAAGTTCAAAAATTGACAAAATATTGAAAAATCACGAAAATTAGCAAATTATTTTGAGTTAAGAATTCGTAAAAATTTTTCTTTTTAAATCTAAGATTTGAAAATTAAACACAAGATTCCTTATAAGATTATCTACCTTTATCAAAAGAAAAATGTCTATAAGAAAGTCAAATTAAATTTTTATGAGCGTTTGAAATTCAAATTTTTACAACATTGAATATTCACTCGATTTTCCATGTAGCGATTTCCTTATTTTGTTGTAATTCAAAAACAAATAACTGTAGATACATGAAAATTTCACTAAATGTTTATATTAGCATTTCCTATACACCATACAATTTTGAAAATATTTTGACTCTTTTTGAGCTGTTTATGGACATTTACAGCTTTCAATTTTTTTTAGTTTTTTTTTCTATAAATATCAATAAAGTTTTATCTGTTGGGCCAAAAAGTGTAAAAATTTAATACAAGGCTCCTGATATATTGTTACAATAGCAGTTGAAAAATATTAAAAATACATAGGCACAGTTTTTTTTTATAAGCATTTAAAGATCAAATTTTAACAAAATTTATCAAAATCTCGAAAATTATTAATCATTGCAATTAATAAATTATAAAATGTTCAGTTTTTATAGCTAAGGATTGCAAATTTAAAACAAAGGTTCTCATAAATAGTTCATACTGTAACCAAAAAATCTAAAAAATATATGAACACAGTTATTTTTTACAGACATTTTAAATTCAAATTTGGACGAAATTACATATTAAAAAACCTAGAATAACTATTTTAGTTATTTTGTTGTGATTGAATAATATTATTCGTGGGTACTTGAAACTTCTAAAGTGTACTATTATATATCTATGATAGTATCACGGTTTTTGTTGATATATAACGCGTTATAAGTACCTAATGGACATTGTGATATGATTAATTTGGAATTTATTATAAGTACCTATTATAGGTCAATTACGTCATAACGTTACCACTAACCTCGGACGAATAGTCGAATAGACGAGTAGTCAGTAGATGACAACTGATAACTATCGACTGCAAATGTGCAACAAATTTCAAGAATAATAAAATAATATTTTATAATACCAAGAATAAGTCAATACATACGACTACGGGTAACAGTTTACATGCTTACGTGTTGTACAACAGTCGCGCAATGCACTAGTAGATAGTAGATAAACACATCTATTTTTAGCATTCGGTGTAATCGAAGTGTCGACGTCGTCGTCGTCTTATCTTTTATAGAAATATAATATTATATACAAATATATTTTGAAAATAATAAAAATACTATTAAAATACTGACGATGCCAAATTGCCGACAACTTTTACCAAGTGTCCAATTTGCCGACTAAATATTTAAAAAATCATGAGTGGGGGGGTTAGACACCCCCCCACGCCCCCCTCAAAGGACGGCCCTGCTTGTCAGTTGGTACTAACAAAAAAATAATCGATTTTAATTTTGCTGTAAATTACAATTCCTATTTCTTACTACTTGAGAGTGGTGCAAATTACAAACATTACTTTCGACTACCTGCAGTGGTGCAAATTACATATCTTTAATTTGGTACAAATTACAAACTCCCCTGTATATACCTTCGCTATTTTGGGTAATTACTTTTGTATGGTTTTTTCGGTAACAACGGTAGGTAATTATTGGCGAATCACGGTTATACCGGTATTCTCAAATAGGTACCGAATATCAGCAATTAAACAAAACCAGTTATTACCGAAGTATACCAAAAATACCGTCAGCTGTACCCTAATTTAATTACCTATTGGTGCATTTAGTGAATAGCGATGATGTACAATTTCAGAAATTTAATGTTCAAGTCATTTCTAAGGAGAAATTTTTAAAAATGTTTGAAATTTAAAAATTTACTTTTGTTTTTTAATAGTACTTACTCTTTTACTTAAGGCATGTAAAAATTAGAAATATACACTGCATTTCTAAGTATATATCATAAATTTAAAAATATACTGTACAAATTGTGTTCGTTTAAATATTTTGTTTTTAAACATAATATAGTTGATAAGTACAGAGGTAATGATAATATTTCATATCTCGCGGTAGTATAGCACATTCGCATTTAGCAATATCGATATTCTTTATAAAAAAATAAAGTAATTCATAAAAATTTACCGGGGTAAGAAATTTGTAAAATGGAAATTTCCTACTTACATCACAGGGTGCATTTTAAGAATTAGTTGTGCACAAAGGGCAGAACACACGGTTTCCGCCAATATTAATGCATAATAAATAATAATATACACCGTGATCGGTAGATAGGTAGGTACGCAGAATAGATTAACCTATATAATATCAGAGTAAAATAGGCCTTTATTGAAATACCTTTTTTTTTTATCCAAAATATTAATTAAAATACCTAGTGCAAAACAACCCTTGTCGACATCGCGACCGCCCTAAGTCACTATATATAATATCACCATTCACTTGCAGGATTCGTATATAGTCGTATAAATAGGAGTCGAGATAATAATAGGTACACCTCAATAGACCATATTATACTATAGCACAGAGGTATTCAGACTTTTTCACTCCACGGCCCCTTCCCAACATTTTGGTGACCCTCCAATGACGAATTATGAAGGACACAGAAAGAAAATGCTTTAATGTTTATTGTTTAATATAATATTATATAATACTATAGCTGATCCCGTGCACTTCGTTGCCTGTTTACTGTACAAACAATATTATGATTCAAACTTTCAAACTTTGTTCAATTCGCGCGTTATTTAATATTCAGTGTATGTTGTTCAAAACTTAAAAATGTCCATGTATCATCTCGATTCTTGAATCTCAAAATACTTGTACAAGCACCACTTTATAAAATGCGAATTTTGGAATATGCTTTCCTAGTGCGCCGCACTGCACACTTACATGGTGGTACGCATAGGCGTAATTTCGCTAAAATTCAGGGGGTGCAAAACTAATCAGGAAAGTTACAAACTTTCTACAAAATTGCAAAATAGGTACCGCTTGAACATTTATTTACTACTTTTTCAATACCAGTTCCTCAATCAAAATTCAAAATTGTATACACAATTTAGTATTATCATTAATAATATGAAGTAAATACATTTTATTATATAAATTAAAATAATTAGTAGACACTGTAATTTATTACATTGATATAATATTAATACATATTAATTAACAAAATTAAATTAAACTTAAGCATCTACCATGTACAGTTGCTGCTGCATTGAACTCGCCGATTACAATTTATTTCAGAATCTATAACTCGATTTCTATCAATTTGTAAGTTGTAACATAGCTATATCAGACAGCCATTCTTGTCCCACAGTTGTTCTGAGGTAAGTTTTAAGCCTTCGTAATCAGGAAAAACTTCGTTTACAAGATGATAGTGTTTGTAGGTATTGTCATAAATAGTGTTAAAATTTCAGATAATAAAGGACACCTATTTTTAATTTCACCTTGTTTTGTATAATCTAATTTGTTTTAAAATACACTATTATTTGAGTTAGTTTGTTTAGATTTGAATATTCTAATAAAGATTTTTAGTTCTATTTGAAGTTCATGATTATAAAACTTATAGGTGTTACTAATAATGTCTAATAACGTTAACATTATTTTATAAATATTTAAAAAATTGGCAAAATTATACATTATAAATATAGAAAATTTAGGGGGTGCAAAATGATAGTTTTGCACCCCCTCAACAATTCCAGGGGGTGCAAGTGCACCCCTTTGCACCCCCGAGATTACGCCTATGGTGGTACGAAGGTATACCATGAAAATTTCAAGTCTCAAGTGGCTCAATCATTATTTTGGCTCTACGTTGATCATTCAGCGAGTCAGTCAGAAAATTTCCGTCAGTTCATATTACAAAATATATATTATAGCTATTCCGACTGGCGTGGCCTGTGAGACACGCTTGTGATTGTGCGAGCCAGTGGCGTATTTACGGGGGGGGGGGGGGGTCCAGGGGTACTGGACCCCCCCAGAACCTCTCGTAAAAAAAAAAAAACACTAAAATTCTTACATATTTGCAGAACCCGATTTATGTAAGCAAGCGCGGTCGCGCGGAGATAGTTTTTTGCCGTGAACAAAATATAGTTTAAAATTAGTTACAACAGCTAAAACAGATAAATGTTCCTGCAGCATGGTTTTAAGTAATAAGACGTATGGAACATTTATACTTTATAGTAATGTTATTCTGACGACAGTTTTTCTAAGTTACGACTAAATACGAAGTGCGATAAGCACTATAAAAGCCGATAAAATTAATAGGTATAAAGTACCCGTATCTTCGAAATATAAACTTTATCACACAGAAAAACTGATTATGGACGGATTTGTGTGTATAGCAATTAGCAATAGTTGTGTAGCCAATAGCCATATATGGATAGGTATAATAAAATATAAGTTAGTGGCTTTTATCTCTTTTAAGATATTACACATTTTCTATTAGTCTCATTAGTCTTCAAAATTGGAAACATGCAATGGAAACGTTTAAAAATCATGTAACACTTCAGTATCATAAACAATCCGTCTTTGATGTAGATCATTTCATAGATATAAAAAAAAACGTACATTTATCCATTGAAAATCAATTAGATACTGCTCGGGCACGACAAATTTTTGAAAATAGAAAAAACATTTCACCTGTTATTGAAACAATTATCTTATGCGGTCGACAAAATATACCTCTACGAGGTCACCGTGATTTCGGAAAATTAACCGTTGATAATAATGATGTTAACGACGGAAATTTTCGTAATTTATTACGCTTTAGAGCTCGCGGTGATGCTTCGCTCAAAATACATCTTGAAAGTTCTGGTACTATAAAATATACAAGTCCTATTAGTCAAAATGCTATAATTGATTCATGCAATTGTTGTGGTTGTTTTGTTTTAGAAAAGACTTAACGGAATGGCTATGTTAAATATTCACAGGCATGTTGAAATCACTGTTGATGAAGTGATAGAGGAGTTGGCAAAAAAATCTAGACGACTGGAATTTATTTTATAACAATACTTTTCATATGTAGTGCTAAATACAATATATATATATAATATTACATAAGACTTAGACCATACTATTATATATTTTGTTCAACTTCCTCCAAAAACTTCATAAGGACGTAACTATTACAAGATATCATAGTTTATATCAATTATGTATAAACTTAGGACCCCCCCCCCAGAAGAATTTGAAAATACGCCACTGGTGCGAGCAATATATTTTCAGGTACGCAAACCACGTGACAAAGGATTAGGGTCCATTTTTATACATTTAGATTATAAATCTAGACACGCGGTAGCGTGTCAAGCCAAGTTCTAGCTAACAGAACTGGCGAGCAGCACCGTGTGTAATATTACACGAACC